AACTATATTTTTTTGTGATAAAAAGGAGATGAGTGTAATGTATCCATGTTTGAGCAACTGGTTCTGCTACTAAGCCTCTAAATAGTTGGCCAATTCGATGGATGATTTTTGCAGCCTTGGATAGCATAAAGTTACTTTAACCGACACTTTAACAATATGAAGGCTCGAAATGGCTAATAGGCTGACATATTTCTCCAATTCATAATGCATACAATAATTGCATGCACTTTAAAAGTCTACATAAGTCGCAAAAATATCGCTAAACACGGCCATACTGGAAAGTAACCGAACTTCTATGTAATACGATAGTGGTTTATCCCTCGATTCTGGTGAGGCGCCACTTTTGTACTTCGAGTTAGCCCCCTTGTACCTCGCTGGGTGGGCTGGCCTTTTGGGTTATGCCAATAGCCCAGACACCTTCTCCGTGCTGAATATATATATTCTGCCCGAGTATTTTGTCTTCTTTCGTCTTCAGGGAGTCTCGGGACGCTACATCTATGGTCACCTAATACTATTTAAGCGATGGTTTATTCTCACTGGCCCAAGAATATTAATAAGGCCAATGCGTTTTTACTTATAAACGCATGTATAAATGGAGATCCATATTTTGAATTAATTTATTTCAAGCAATCATCGTGTTTCTGTCACTCAACACCTCAACAAATTAAAATTATTCATCTCAAGTCAGATTCTGCAGTACGGATATACAGAAAGACCTAGGTTTTAAGGAATTTCATGCAGCAACAACGGATAAAAACTAACACTTCCAAATCTTCATACCGCAGAAACTTACGATGAAAAAACTATGACTGAAGAGGGCTTTCGATGTGAAATTTCATGTCGTAAAGAATTGCAAAATAATGTACTTTTACTAAAAATAAATTACAGCCAACGTAAGAGCTGGGATTCACTTTATTAATGGTAAATTTAATCAAGTGCTCGCTGCTTTTAGAATACACTTTGCATAGCTTTGGCGCATTCCAGCTTTCCCTCTTTTTTACAAATTTTATCTCCTTATTACTTACCAGGCGAAAAATTAAATGAAATGACATTGTGCTTGATATACAAAGCAAATATTGTCATATTTTACTCCGAATTATTACTAACAATTGTTTAACCAAAGTACTATATATACCCCAAATAATACCACATTGCTGAATTCGGATGAAACAGTAGCATTATTTTTAAGATTTGGGTGCACGTCTCGTGCTAGATCTTAAAGGAAAAGAAGTATTTAGTACCTGATTTGTTCTGACTACCTGATGTATCCCTTCATGTCTACATTTTAAAACTCTCATAGAATTTCTAGAGGCCTCTTTGAGAATAATTACGTAATTATATGGACGTGAGTGAGCAAAGCATGAAAAGCAACTCCTTACTCTTCTTTGCTGCTATCTCTACCATCTCGCTGAACGAGTTGATATTGTGCAGTAGAGCTTCTGTGTCTTAAATTGACGGTTATCTATCCAACGCTCCTTGTTGGAAGGAGCCATAGAAGGCTCTTTTCACTAGCAGCTGAAGGCTTTTTTGCGCACTCCTCATCATCATTGCCCACTTTTGGCGGCTACGAAAGGACTCTGGCAGGCGCCCTTTCTTCCTGGTTAATGAAGAGTTGGGTGAAGGTATCCGGAATCACCCCAGCCTCGACGGCAGCCAAGAATAGATCCTGAGGAAGGGTGTTTACAATTTGGAGTGTACTCTTACGTTAAGAGCAGAACCAAAGGTCATATCTGGCATTTTTAAGACACCCTCAGAATCTTATACTGTTTGTAAAAGGGAAAGGACCATCTCCACCACCACTGTAATAGGTTTGGGCAATTCCCTCTTCTGCCTCGGTCTGCATACCCTTGGAACGAGCAGATGAGTTAGACGAGGGTATGCTTTATTAGCCATCCATAAGCAAATAGGTGCAGATGTCCCAGTTAAGCTTGTACAGGATACATATGTCCCTCGAGGGTCGATAGCGTCCGATCCGTCACGAAGTTCCCCTTCACTGACCACTTCACACCTCGTAATAATGAAAATTAGGTTATTATTAAAAGTTATCAAGGTGTCTCATTTACAAATAAGGCGACTTTGCAAATCTGTCTGCCTTGTAGCCATCTCCACAAGGTTTCTTTTCGAGGTCATCCACATTAAAAAACACACCGAACAAAATATATAAAGCATCCACAAATTAACGGTAGGAGTGCTTAATTGCTGTTCCAAATAGATCCAGAATTTGAGCATTAAGTAAAGTCAGGTAGAAGGAGCAAGAGAGAAGAGAGTATCAAAGGCAATATGGCAGACGCAGCGAAAATGGATGAAGTCAAATGACGCGTTTACCCTCAAGAAATAATTGAAAACTTTGGAATGATCCTTGTTAGCTACACTGGACCCATGAGCTGTCAGTCTCTTTCATTTACATGTTGCTGAGGTGGGGTTCACTTTAATTTCAAGACGTGACTCAGACAACTTTCCATTTCGTCTGTATGTATACTTGGAATTTTAATTTTGTTTCAGTCTTCCACTCTAATTATATGTCTGTTTCTTCTTTGTTGCCTTGCGACCTTTATATTATTAGGATTTTGCCTAAAACCACCTTACCTGCATGATTTAAATCGGACTTTTGGGATTCTCTGCAACATTTCCATGAAGGGCTAAAGACAATTAGATAGTCCGTTTCTTCTTGACAAATGCTAAATTCAAATGAAAGTGGGAAATCAAATATCTCCTAATGGACGCCTTTTCTTGGAACGTTCATCATTTAATTTTTGCAATGACTGTGTAACAAGTCATGCATCCATTTGTTTTTACTTCCTTTTTTCCTTTTGCACTGATCTTTGATGTGATGCCGATAAAGTGCGCTTCTGGAATGATTCCTCCCCATTAACCTTTCGTTTCCCTAATTCGATATCTGGCTATATTCTGTATCGAAGTTATATTTGTCCTATTTGTGTGACCCTTATGTATACTTCAATGCAACTTGCACGTCGGTGGTGTGAAACTCTGTTCATAAAGCCAGCCTTCAGGACTCAATGTCACACAATACATCTTCAGGGGTAAATGAGAAACAAAATCACCACCCTATCTTACCTATTATCACGATCATATGTCATGATTGTGAATAATTCTTCGCTCCCCAATCGCTCAAAAATTCTGTTGCACACTATAACGTATTTGTTTGTGTACGGGGTGGGAGGTGATCGTGTCAGACCTTGACCTAATCTTGCTCCGGTTAGCTAGTCAATTGTGGATTCAAATCCGTTTCCAAGCAGAAGGGCGAACGATAAGCGTCAAGCGTACGTCGCCTTTGCCGATTCATACGACAGTCTATAAACACAATTCTTACACTGTCTGTCAGGTGGCAAAAAACTAACCTGTTTTAGCCGATTGGAACGATTGATTGAGTGAGAAATTTGAAGGTATTTGTAGAGTCAGTTCAATTCACGATGGGAAAGATTAAAAGATTTGGTATTTTAACAACTATGAAAGCTTTTGAAATGTTAGTAGGTTTTTAGCGAATTTAAGAGGTGTGTTTTGAGGATATGCTATTAAACGGGATGCGTTTCGGTATCCTTATATTAAAGTTAATTCCTCACTCATGCCTTAGAATGTTTTTCCCGCTAAACCAGGTACTACATTAGTGCCGATATAGAGGATCTACCCTATCGGGACAGCAACATCAACGCGTCACATATAGAGGACATTAACTAAGCTCTTTAACCTCCAAAAGCGCATCACAAAAGTGATGTCGAAGTCGTATGGATGTTTTGAACTAGCCTCAATCTTGAGTTCCACACTAAAAGCCGAATTCAAATGGTGAAGCCTTTAGGAAACTAATATAAGTCCATTTAAGTGAAATGGAAATAAGTCCAAACGGGAGAACACATACAGAAAAATAGTTCAACGGTACTCGTCTATGTTGCCTGCATTAATAAAGGTCTTTGTTTTAGTTAAATGTTTCCTCGATGGCGAATTAGCAAAAGAAACGCCCCGCTATAGACTTAAGCAATATCTTCGAGAAACCCCTTAAAACCGCGTCCAGTCTACTGCCTTGAAGCACAGGTAACCTATTCATATGGTCTCATATTTCTAACTTTAGGCAAATCTATAATGAAGACACAAAATCTGACAATCTGTCTTTCTGGTTCTACAATTCTGTCTGCTGGTGAAACTGAGAAGTAGAACCGGTACCCTGAAATCTCACGACTTCCTTTTGCATGTCATCAAACTGCACATCCTTTTTAGCAACCATTGCCACTAATTTGAATGCCAGATATGATGGTAACAGAGGAATGGTATCTCATTTTATCAATCCATATTTGCTTTACTCAAGACAATATTGCAACGACGGTGTTGTATTAATCCTTGTATGCAGAAGGTAGTGTGAGGATTGATTGTACAATATTTCCTGGTTTTCTGGCTATTCGAGGTTATTCGGCGGCCAGTATTTTAAGCTAGTGTAGGCAAAAAGTATCGGGTTTTACGGTTTCTGTGTCCTCATGTACATTCTATAAGGTAAAGGGCCACTTTGTATCTTGACCATTGTACCTTACCCTAGTAAGCTAGCCTCCGGATCATGGCTGTAACCCCAGGCTCTTTCGTGTGTTGAACATATATATTATGCTTGGGCAATATGTCTTTCTACGTCATCAGGAAGTCGCGGGGAGCTACAAAATGTGACTTCTTAGGACCCAGGAGGAGGCCTGTGGCATCACAGTTGAATGGCATCTAAGCCAATGCAATGTACTGTTTACGCGGCGTTGTCATTTTTCATTAACTAATTTGCAAATAAACATGAGATAATTCTTTACCATATGGTAAGATATGGTGATCCACAGATTTCTCAGTGGATTCACGAAAAAGTCTGTAATTTTATACTTAAAAAATTATGCTAAAAGATTTGAATGTACCAAAAAAACACATTTGTTACAAAACACTCCACTGTCCACTTTAACAAAATAACGCATCAAGCAAATCAGCTAATCAAATCAAAGCACAGTTTTGGTCTCCCTTTCATGTTTCGAAATACGTTCCAGAGTGGGTTTTTGTCCATTCTTTTCAGTATTGGTTCCAAACCTCTACAGATTTGGGACAAAATGGTATATTTTGTTGATTTCTGCGCCTTTATAGCGAAATGCTCTTTGCTAATGCCCTTTGGTGTCTAAATTCGTATCGGATGAAATAATTTTTTTCAGGTTCGCAATGGGCATATAAAACGCACAACGGATAATGACATTGAATCTTTGGTACTTGAATTAATCGGAAACAATGTCAGTACCACCTATATCACTTGTCCAGCTGATATGACAAAGAATTTGGGGATCAAATTGCCTGTTCTCGTCCTCATTGTCAAGAATATGGAACGGTATTTCACTTTTGAAGTTCAGGTAGTTGTTTCTCGAATATTTATGTTTGCACATATCTAAAACGGTCTCTTTTGAAAGTGACATCCGAGAATAACAGCATAAGATCGCTTATTCGCATCAACTCAATCTGTGTTTTGAGTACACAAACTTCCTACTAGGACGAATAAGGGTTATTACTCCCATTCTTTCTTGATGATTTTGTTCTCCTGTCTTCTTTCTATCAAACAAGCCATTGATGAGACGTCCTATACAATTATTGATAGCATTTACCTGATGATGTAGATGGTACGTTTCATGATGCTGAGCAAATGTGGTTTTTTGGAATTTCCTGTAGTAAAAGTTAGGTGAATCCTTTCCCATACCTCCAGGTCCTCGATGACAAAGGCATAAAGCGACGTTTTCGGGCCAGCAACTTTCAGAGCACAACGCGTGTGAAGCCCTTCATCTGCACGATGCCACTGCGGATGGAGGAGAAGTGGAATCAACTGCAGCTCAACCTCGCCAATTTGACTAAGCGTGCCTATGGAACAAACTTTGTGGAAGTTCTCCGCGTCCAAGTAAGGCAAAACCTTTGGAATTTCAAGAACATGTAAAATAACTCTAGAATGGAAACTGTTTGATTTTGTTGCTCTAAGTAAATGCTGTTCTTATCTGCCTCGCCGTTCCCATCACCCAAATAAGATATTTATATCTATTTATGAGGCTTTTGGGGATTGTGTTTGAGGGATTGTATGAAGCTGAGTTCAATTTGGAATATCATTAGTCGTGATTTCAGTTGTGTTGATGTGAAAATTCTGGTTAACTCGAATGAAATAAGCCGGTAACACATTACGAAAAAATTTCATTCCAGGCTCAGATGTGTCATATTCTCACTAGATTCACTCATAGTGTTCGCTGAATTCATCTGCTCATTGGGCGTGTGATTGTTTCGGGTAACCATCCAAGGCGTTACTTCTACGTAATGTATTTCAGATGAAAAAGTAGTAAATACGGCAGAGTTGAATTGGATTCTGTGCACTTTTCTCGTAACAAATATGTGCAAGTCAGTGCCATTCTTAGTGTTCCGGGGTTATTTTTGTCCAGTTTTATTAAATAGGTCTAATTTTGAGGATAATTCTCAACGCTAAATTGTGCTAGTTAATTCCAGTCTGAGGTCAACTATACAACAGTTTTGTTAATTAAATCGTAACTCCGGGAGTTTCGAATTCTGCTTTACGTACAGTTATGGATTTCAGAACTGAGAACGCGTTGCCTAAAGCATATGGTGTGCCAGTCCTTGTTCTCGCGTAATAGTTTCCTTTAACTTAATAACTTGAAGTTGTCAACTCAGGCAAAGTTATTTTGCAGTCACTTTATTCTTCTTGCACGGCTAGAAAGGAAGCAAATGACTTTGATCAGTTGCGTAATATTCTCACTCCAATCACGTTACAAGATGCGATTGTGCTCCACATTATTCCATGTAACTTCTATTCCGCTATTTGGTTCTCCCGTAGGTCCACGCCAACTGTCGATTGCGTCGAATATTCTTCAGTGATCGTTTGTACAAAGAGACCGAACTCCCAGCCGAATTCAAACTCTACCTACCGATTACACAGGCGAAAACTGACGAGTGAGATGTACCCTTTCTTCCTATGCCTACTACCTTTTTCTTTGGATGAAACTATTACTACTTAATTGTTCAGAAACGTTTTTACAAGTTAGTTCGTTGTTGCTGGTGGAGAAGGAACCTATCGGCTTATGCGTATCTTTAAGCGGGGTCATTCTCATCCCGAATCTAGTCGGTTTTATTTATAACTTGTTTTTTAAAGGATGAATCAAATTCTCGCATTAGCGGTGTGTCAAAACTGGAAGCTGTGTATTGTACTAAGTTGTGACTACTACTTATGGAATTCTAGTACGAGTGGGCAGTGCATTCCCTCTTGTCAACTCAGTAATGCTAACATCAACTGTCAACCGATTTCATGAGAAAGCGACGATATGGTTGGACGTTCAGCGCATCTTTGAAGTCGTCAGTAGCCATGTTGGTACGGCAGAGGATGTGACATCGATCTAGTTTGTTAGAAAGAGTCGAGGCTATGCCGCCAATTATAAGTCCAATCTGAGTTAAACAAACCGTTAGAGCAATGCATGGCTCCGCCTTTCCTTTGAGCTTCGTCTCCAACGCTCCCCTTGGTCAACAATCAGCGTTGGCCATCACAATACAATTAGTACTTGAAAAGATACCCACGAACCAACCACACCAGTCATCGAATTCGCGTGCAAACAAGAAGACATATAATCCCAACGTCATCGATGCGTCTCGGCAATTCCACTGGGCTGGAGTTTCGTTCTATTTAGAAACCGTATTGAGGAGAGGGAATTCGATGACTGGTGTGAAGAACAGTTGCCTAAACGAAGAACAATGAGTAAGAAGGGGTTTATATTAATAATGTTTTGCGTCTGCGCCTCCTTGCTACTTTGTTCTCACTCCAGTGCTGTCCAGCCATATATCTATCTGGATTCTATTCAGCCAGTAGAGACGTGGAGAAGGCATTGAGTGTTCACTTAATGAGCATCTTCAGATGATTACATGACGGAACCTTCAGATGGTTTACGGCTAGTATCGCTTCACTTGCTAACAGCATTCCCGCAGAACATGGGACTGCGGTAGTTGCGGAAGTTGGACGCCATTTTCACGGATTCCCTCATCAATTGCAGAAGCCTTTCTTCTGTCACGTTAGGATTTAGCATTTAGCAATGGAAATCAGGGTAGGTATCCTTTAAGATCAAACTTGTTTGTATTTAAGATACCTACCAAAATCCTAAATTTCAAATAATTTTCTGTAACTGTAACAGTACTTTATACTAAATTACCCGGTGCTAGGAACTCTGCACCGAATGCGTGTAAGCATCAAAGTTTATCGGACAAATATTTCCAGTCAACTGCAATTTAGTAAGCTAACAAACTGTTTCCTTATGAAATATTCAATAAATTTTGGCGAAAATAGTTTAGCTTTTTCTCTGATTAAATAATTTCAAGGTCATGAGTTCCCGTGGTGTACTAGAACCAGTTCCCAAATTTAACAAAAAAAGATGCCATTGCCTAAAGACAGTAGTACAATCGTTGCCTTGCGCAATAATTAGCAAAAGTGAAATCTTACTTTGTAAATAGTGCATAAAGTAGATGTACCCTGACGGATGTCCCGCTCCATGGAAGCACGTACGAAATCCAACCTCATTTCTTATAACTCCTCCATTCACAGTAAACTGTGCCATGTCCTGGAGAAGTAATCTAACTAGAACTGCACGGAGGAGTTGTCTACTAGTAGAAACGATGCGATCAGAACCAAATGTTATCAAGACATTAATTAAATTCAGGTGGCTGAACTACGAGAGAGACAAATACCTCTTCGGCTCTGCTATCGGCGTTTCCCGTACTCACCCCAAAACCGCACACAGTCTGATAACGCAAGTGGAGAAGACATTTAGTATGCTAATATAAGTGACGTATTCTCCCAGTTCTGGTGGAACTAGAGCTACATTCTTCCTGCGCACGTATTCCATCAGCTCACCGATCTTGTACTGCCCAAGTTGAGTTAATGCTTACCAAGGCGTGTATTTCATGTGCTCGTCATTCTTTGTGGAAACTTTCGCCAGAAAACAGACATGTAATAATATGCAAGGTATGTGGTTTCATTAAGGTAAACCTATTAATTGGTCATCCTCACCAATTCGTTTACACATCAATATTGCTATGCGATCTGTCTAGGTTCTGATGATCTGATGCAAACGTAGAGAAGGCAACACTTTTCATGACTTCCAAACATCAGCACATTTATAGTGTTGCATCTTTAAACTGGCATTTCTTAAACCACTCAGACCTAATGTCACTTGAGCTCTTAACTGCCTTCCCGGGTAGCTGATTGTACAATTAAAGTGAATGTTTTTCTGTTAAATTTATATGCACAGTGATTTTAAAATGAAACTTCAAATTTCGTCCTTTATTTTAACAAAAATATATGGTTTAAAAACTTTAGGGGATATTTTGACATTTTTAAGGGCTATCTATGCAAATCCCGGGATCGACAATTAAGTAGCAGGTTTCATGTTCCAAATCTTTTGCTGTGTGTAAAGGTGAAAGGCAGGCAATTGATCGAGAATATACTACTAGCCCAATTTAAGTAAGTGTTTTAAATAGGACGTTGGTGTAGAGGCAAAGTGAAGTGGTACGACTTGATATTAAGATGCCCAAATCGGGTCCCTAAAACTAAAGCAATGTGCATTAGTAATTCTACTAAGAACTTTGTTCATGGTTTAGTTTTTAAGTGCTCTGAGATGAAATAATTCGTGAAAAAGCAAATATGTGCAAGATACAACTCAAGATTCCAGAAAGAAGATAGCATAACGAACAATTTATTAACACCACATTTTCTTTTCTTTAGCAATATTTTATCGTTCTATCCATCAAAAATCCCTTGATTCACACAGATGCGACAAAAAGGAAAACACTGACACTACTTGCGTTCATTGTATGCCAAATATTTTTAAATAATACACAGCTAAAAAACTTTTTGCACGTTTTCATTCAAAAAATTTTTTCTTACTTTCACTGTTTCCATCGGTAGCCAAAATAATTTCTAGTAAAAGAGGAGGGTAAACAAAATTTATTGGCTTCCATTTACAGTTATTCGAAAGTTATATTCAGCCTCACTGACTGGAAAATCTTTGCACAATGTATTTTTTACGACTAAGAAGGAAGTTTCTCCAATATGACTGGCTACAATCATAAACTCGTGCTGAACCTAGAATGGCCAAGGAGTCTCTGTTTTGAATTTCCTCTATGCCCAACATGTTTTTTCGCATAAAACAGGAAATAGTAAAGTCGGCTAAGAGAAAGATGAGCATAGTTCTATTACATTTCTCGTTTCCGTCCCACAGCCACTCAAAGGGTTTCTTAGCTGACCCAATCATTTAATCACCAGAGCTAATAACAACTGTGCAATACTTCCACTTGAAGGTGGTTTGTGTTTTTGTGGGTAGTGCTACGACCACGACCAAGGAATGCTGCAGGGGAAATGTCACGATTACATAATACAAATAAACCCTCTGTTTTGTAGGCAACAGAAAATGTGTGCCATTTCCTAAACACTTCCTGATTCTCTTTGTTAAAGAATATAGTCCGGCTTCACTTGGGAGTGTAAAAGCAATTATAGGGTCATTTGAATTTGAATTGTTATTTACAAGCGTGGAAATAAATCTCAGTCATCACCCCACACTTATTTTAAACTTGAGATTATCATTGGTTGATCATTTGTGAATAAGAGAAGAAAGAAATTTACTCAACACCCCAGGAATTCTAATCCTACCTTTCAAGGTTAATTTATAGTGAAGCTTTACTACAGTGAAGATATGCGATCAAAGGCTATAGAAAGGATTCTATAATACGAGGCACCGCGTTTACATTTGCAATATTTGGTGCATGTAATCAGCTATGCCTCTTTAAAGTCACCAGATCTTTTATGGCTTACATGTAGCAATTTATTTACCATGTATGCTTCTTGTATATTTATTATTTTGTAGGAGGTACCTTAGAGGTCGGCGAATTCTGCAACAATTATGCACAGGTTTCAATTTAGAATAAATTTTCTTCTTATAAAACGCATCAGAAGACAAATTCGTGTCCACTTTGGGCTTTCAAATATTAATTGCCTTATGTGTATACCTCCACAATTGAAGCAGCATGTTACATTAATACATATCCATTTAAATAATAATTTAGCTCTCCAAATCTTTCTTGAACTAGTAGGAAGTCACAGTAGCATTGAAGGAAATAGAATACCTACGTACAGAAAGGCTGAGAGGCTGCTGGTATGGCGGGAGGCCATGCCGCCGAGCGCAAGTACTAGCCGCTGAGACTTAAGCCTCCGCCTAATTAAGTGTAAAGTTAAACAAACTGTCAAAGCACTATATTTATAGAAAGTAACCGCTTAGGGTTTCTGATTCCCTAAGAAAGACTGTGTAATAGATGCTCTACTTTCGAGATATGCATAGCTCCCTGCTTTACAAGGGCGACTGTGTGGGTATTTCTGTTTAATGAGAACATTTTCTAAAACCCTACTCCAAAATTTAAGAAAATAATAATTCTGCGAATAATGCGAAAATCCACATTATCATTCCAGTTTTACCGTAACTTTATTATTTGCACTGAATATTTAATCCGATTTGAGGGTTAGACTTTAACCTCTCTAACGGTTTCCTTTAACTCCCAACTAATTCGCTTTCTTCAAGAAATGTAGACCTACTGATCATAGGAAGAAAGTACAGCTTAGGGGAATTCTAGGTGAAAGTGCACCGAAGAAGAAGGGGGAAGGAGGATTTGGCGAAACATGCCACGGCGTGGTGAGGTCACAGACGTCAAACCTGACACTAGGTTTGGGTCAGATGAATCCATCTGAGTTACTGCCAGTTAGTTTGATACCCAAGTAAGTGCCACGCGGATTTAACCAAAGATTAGGATTAAATATCCCTTTATACTAAATAGGCATCAAAACTAGGTATTTGCACAGTGAAATGTTTAATTTGAGTGCTGAACTAGTTATTAGTCAAAAGTCCGTGAAATTCAGTAGCTTCTTCATATTGTAAATTTTTAGAAAGTTTTCTTTCAGAAATACCGAAAAAAATTTCATAAGTTGGACAGATCGTAAGCACAGAACGGAATTTCAGTTACCCCAAAACAAGTTTTATTAATAACCTAACGAAAACAATCACTTTTACGAAAGATTAACTCATGTGAGGGAGGAACTAACCAAAAACACTTTGAGAATTTGTGTAAGAAAAATGTGTTAAAACCTTTTACATCTTTTAGTGGAAAATCCTGTATTTTGATCGAACTGATGAGAATCTAATAATCGTAATTATTTGAGCGTTAGGAGTTAAGCAGATTTTTTGTACTTAATGAAACGTTAAACGAGAGTACTCAGTTACTGCGTAAACCAATATTTTAAATTGTAGTGGTAAACTATGGTTATTTATTTGATTTATTATGTAGCACGATCCTCCTTTGCCTCCCCTCTTTGGCCTTCATACCCTTAGAATGAAGAGACTGACTGGGTTTAGACATATTTGTTTGTTGGCGTCAGTGGGGGATAGATACAAATTTAAGGCGACTTGGATACAGGGCTGTTCTCTGATTTGCTAGACATTGAGTTCTCCTCAATCACACGTTCAAATCGACTGCCCGCTTCCTTACAAAATGGCACATTTAAACAACGTGAGTATTACAATTAAGGCACTATTTTGCGACAATCACTTTCCTTCTTACAAGAATTTTAAATCCAAGCAAATTTCATGTAAACCAGTCAAGCACTAAACAGTTGGACTTAGAAAACTGAATTAATACTTTGTGAGGAAATAGGCTAAAATACTTTTCATTCATTTTTCAAAATGCATTATTGTAAAGGCTTAGACATTGCAAGAATTACGTAAGAACCCTACATTCATCGTCCTTTTACTCTTTTATGGGTAGATAAATAAAGCTGAATTGAATTGTTTCATTCATTAAAATCACCACAATTACAGTGCATAACCTGAACCTTCCCCAACGAAACACGCTAGCTGTGAAGGTTAGTTTTATACAATACAGCCTGTCTTCTGTTACTGTTTCTGGTCTATTTTCCAACTATTCTGACGTGAAACTATTTACTTGGAGGGATGTAGGTTGAGGGATTATGGAAGGTGAGAGGTATATCCCTCCCTCTCGGTCTCAAATGCTAAGCTTCTCATGGTTAAGTAAGGGAACCTTCTGCATAGGGTTTAGCAAATATTTTACTTTCATTGAATGGATAGATCTCAATCACAATCTTTTGGACCTCATCCAGAATTACCTGGGTAATAAGTGGGTCTGAAGACCACAATACATACAAGTGGCCAATGATATGTTAGTACAGTTAACGTTGGAATAAATTTCTCACTTTGACTCTATTCAAGTCAGAAAACAACCGGAAACAATGTGCCTTATAACATGGAGGAGAATTTTGTCATCCGTTAATACATGTGACACTCAACTTCTCAGCCCCCACAGCCCTCTCAGTCAATGTAAGTGTAAATGAATTATTCCATCACTCACGATCGACTTAATGGAAATATTGATGTGCATTTCTTTATTTTCAAGAAAAGGTTATCTTTTTGAAAGTAAAGCATCCAATTTTAGGTGATTCAACATCAGAAATAATTTTCTGAAGCATTTCTGGGGACGCGTTCTGCCATTGCACCTTTGGAGCTCGTTATAAGCTTCCGTAGATTTAATAAAATCGAATGTCATTGACATTTCATGAAAGTTCAAAACACAAGGGAACAGGACGGAACATATTTACGATCACTTAGGGCCTGACACATAACTCAACTTTGTAATGCATATAAACAGTAATGTTTTACAAGCACTTGTGAGTTACAAGAATTTTCAAAGAGTTATACCAAAAACCGCACAAACTTTGTTGGTTATCAAAAGTAGAAAAGAGGAAATGTTGTTTCGACCTTATACAAATTTGCTAGCAATACATACACAGTTCATTATAATGTTTAAGTGCGAATTTTGCCCAAATTGCCCGTTATTTGGCTACCTTTCTGTTTGTTTCCATTTCTGTGCAAAAATTATTCAAATTTCTGTCCTAAACAGAGGGAAATGCTATAGGAGGAATTGTGGCATGTAATAATTTAAAACATTAATCGAGTGGTGCTATCACATGATTATTTTTTAATTCCCATTCTATTTCGAAAATTTCATTTTCACCAATAATGCTGTAGATAATTCGTTCAACTAACTTTATGTTAGATTGGGTAGGCACCTGACTCTCCGCAGGTTGCGCTTCCAACCAGAGGCCATTCCAGTATCTTCAGCTCTTCTGTACGTCAGTGGTGTACTTGTCACACTTCTATGGTTCTTACAACTAAAGAAATGACCCGGGAAGTCATATTTAAACTTTTCCTATTACTTGTGTCAATATTCGGGCTTTGACATCACTATTCAATACAGAAATGTTTTAAGGGAATGAATGAAATTGTATAATCTCTTTTAGCGTAGGCTTTGGGAAGAACCTGTCTGGTAGACGTATTAATATATTTTTAAATTTCCAGTGGTTGAAACGGTATCTGAGATAGAATGAAAATGCTTCCGTTCAAGATACTGACAACCCAAGTTCACCTTTTTAGTGTTCATCATGATTGTAATCATAACGTTGAAATTATTAAACATTGAATTCTGTCATATTTTTAATAGAGTTGTATTAAAGTTTGCTCTGGGACTTTGACAGCATTGAATATCAGTCTTCCACTCATTTATTTTACAAATATGCTAGGATGTCGAATAATAGAATCATGACAGTTCTGTTATATTGAGGGTATTATATACTCCCAATTATAGGTGGATTTCGGGGGCATTTTTAGTTTTACAAATGCCAAACACTAGTTAGCATACTATCGGCCCTCTGTTAAAACACATCTTGGAAAGAAAAACACGTTGAAAAGTGCGTTTTAATCGCGTGTAGGAGCCGTGACATTCGAGTAAGCACGAGGTGGACCAGCGAACACGCCTAATGAGGTTAGTTTAAATCAAACCCAAAAGCGTCAAAACACCGCTGCTGCCACCGGCGCAGATCAAAACGCTGGCATTCCTTCACAAACGGGCACGAACGCACGCACCGCACTGCAACCATGCTCACTGGGTCGGTGCGCATGTGCGCGTGGCGGCAGACGGCCAGACGACGAGAGATCAAAGGAAATGTCGTAATGGGCTTAGGCCTAGTCTCCTCAGTCGGAACGCCCATAAAACCCTCACTTGGTTGGCGTTACGGTGATGTGAGTGCCATTCCACTGAAAGGTCGATGGACAGCTGACCTTAGAGGACCTGCGGAACTGCTACTCCTACAAGGGACATCAACAAACACGAGTCGAGTCTCATTCCGGAGGTGAGTATTCACATCAGTGAGAATACTGGTTTGTCTTGAAAGAATGGAATCCCTTGTCACAAATGATAGTCGAATCAAACGTTATGCTTTTCATATTTTTTTATTAATTTTCTTCTTTTCTAGCCACTTTTCCCATGGAAGAAATCATTAATTAACTAGTGCTTTAAGATTCCAATAGCTATCAGCTCCAGCCTGACACAGTAAATAGGAAATTTTCACAAAGTGATTAAGAAAAATTGGACGGCTTAATTTTGTAATAAGTACCATGAAACATTTCAAAGATAAATGAAGTCTTTACGCGATTCCTTCGACTATATGTAGCGGGAAAAATATCGGTTCATTGTATGTTAATGTGTAAATCTTTTCGATTTTCCAATTTAAGATCTCCACATAACACGCCTTTTAATATTTACAGAAGTAAATCGGGAACTATACGTCCATTTTTTCCAATCCTTAAATGATTTCAGTGTTATGTATAACCGTAGTTTGGTAATTGGTAATCTTTATCGAAAATTATGAAAATAGTATAGACTGGTCGTTGGTCATTCATGAATTGAGGCTGAATTCAGATATGGAATCATTTAATAATTTACTTGACTTTAGATGACGTAAATACTATCTGTATTCGTCGGAAAAAATACAATAAGGCTTTTTATTGTCGATTAATTTTTTATTTTTAATAGGTAATAAGGATGAAAACTCTTCTTATCTGCAAAATTTACCATGTTTCGCACTCAAAAGAGATAAAGTTCTAAGTGTTGCCATCTTTAGTCCTAAAGTATATGGTGTATTCTTGACTATCAATTTTTCGTTTAATATACATTGCATAAAACAACTCCATAAGAATTCTCTTTACCGCGTGCTTGATAACAAACTAAACGACTTAGTTAGCTAAACTTTGTGACAATACGAAATCGTGTATTTTAAGGGATTTCAGCTCATTTGTTCATCAATGCACAGAGTCTAACTAATCTTCCCGACCCTGTTTGCTGTAAATCAAATACCGTGTGCTTGAAATCCCGCGCAAAGGGAATGCCCGCCACCGATTGGTATACGTGAACACACATGCTCGCACCTGTGGCTAGGTTTATATGGACCCGTAACGCATTAGGACTACACACTAATGAAGCAAGAGTGAACATGATTTTCTTCTTTGTCCTATCTTGCTCGATTTCATTAGGCTTTGGAAAACCCTCTGCCCATCCAGGTTTGTCGATAGTGACGACAAGTATTGGTGGAGCAGGACCTCATCTTATACCCAAAAATGCCGATTACTCCCGCAAAGTCAGCGTCAGTGTCGGTTCTGTCTTGAATCAGCAGGAAGCTGCCGCTGCAGCAGCCAGTTCCACCATTGACCATCCTCGCGGAACAGTTGGCACTCGCTCGGTTTCCGTCTACGATGATCCAACAGCTCTACGACTTCACACTTCGGTGCTGAATGCCTACCCATCTCGATTTGACATCAGCAACTTCCATGGGGAGAAGATCAACAGCGCAGCTATTTCGTATCTCCAGCCTGATCTCAGTCAGGGGACCGTCGCCAAACTGCGGGTGATTTTGGGTGCCGACTATGACCATGCTTGGATGTCGGTAGAACCCCGACCACCCGGAAACGAGACGACGGGCTACCCACCATCAGCGTCCAAGCAACGCCTCCTACGTCAGGTGGAAGCTTTCAATTTCAGTGTTTTTGACGAAGTCTCTGGTGCGGAGCATCAGGAGGTCGCGTTGAGTGCGAAAGAGTCAGCTATGCTCAGGAAGTGGTTGGTTCAGCGTGTGGACTGTCCAATGCAGTATGTATGGCGCGACAATGGTAATCGATACTGGCCTAGGTGGATTCGACATGCAGTATGCAAGGAGGCTGTTGTCTGCTCCTGGCCCCCTGGGATGCAGTGCAGACCCAGTGGAACCAAAACCCTGACGCTACTTAGATGGGTGAGTGAGCAACACAGCGCTCTAGGAGGTCAAACCGAGAAGGTGGAATCACCATTTAACATAAATTGATTTTTTTTAACAACTACCCTTTTCGTTAATAGTTTAATATGCAAGTGGGATGAAAATTTACATTTTAACGATATCCGACCTATTAGCAACCTAATTACAATTACAATTTCATAAAGAATGGAATATTTCAGTCTTATTGCAACATTTAAGATAAATGTTCCGGTTAACTCGCTTGCCTACACATATGCTTCATTATAAATAAACCTCGAAACGTAAATTATTTGGAAACTTTTTGATAAGGAACGAATTTTAACTGGTGCAAACAAACAACTTATTTACTACCCTCTTGAAGTAGCGACATTATTTGTTGGTTTTTGTCTATAACAAGTGTTCGTACTTAGATGAAATTACCGGTATTACAATTCACAGAAAAAAGCTGATAGCCGGGGCTTAATAATTCAGCATGTTACGGCGTTGAAGATGCATAGAATCCTAAATACAATTATCATTTTAAACATCTAGATCGAATTTCTCAATTTAATCTGCAAGTACTATACATTTTTGAATATGCAAAGCATTAGTTTCCTTTAAAAGGGAATTCCCAAAAATGGGACGGCTGAAACTCCCTTCAGGTGTACCATTTAAAATACTCATTCAAACGGGTCTTCCCAAATCTGGAACAGTGGCCATTTGGACACCAGTTGTTGTCTGTTCCTCCATTGAAACAGTTATCGCCTGTTCATGGGAATAATTAACCACGCCAGGTTATACAACGATTAGCGCGCACATGAACATTATTTATCAACTTCTTTCGTATGCGTTTTAAATTTCACATTTAGCAATCAAAATGCATGTTTGATACTTGTGACATTTGGCCAGTTTTAAAGGGGACCACCAATAGCATTTGTGCAAGGAGGGACGAGGAAGATTAGTATTTGCACAGCTTCCACGTCAATAAGTATTGCGTACTTGGGTGCCTCTGACAGTGGAATTCTATCAGCACTGTCTATGTTGTTTCATGAAGAGCCAGCTGTCAAGTTTCTAACCCCAATTAACCAGAAGTAGTGTCGAAAATACTGGAAAATTTAGTGGTATACAGTATGTATATTCTTGCCTAAGGCCTGGTATTAACTTCCGACCAAGCTAACCATACCACTGGGATGTTAATTGAAAATGGCAATCCTTTAGTCTTTTCTTAGGTTCTCTTTTGAATCCATAGCCAGTTTCATGAGTTTGAGGTATAACCAAGATTTCGAAGAAGTAGATGAGATTAAAAGTTTGTGTGATTTTGCTTTCGTTTTTGAATTTAACCGTATTTTCACTTGCATGATATGATGCGAATAGAATAAAAACAGCGCACTGACTCAGTGTCAACTCATTGCTGAAGCATTCACTGGATGTATGCTTCAGATAATTTCATTTCTTATGTCACCTAAATGCGAGTTTCGCTATGTGGTGTTTGCCTTCTGAGTTTCGTCCAGCTTAGGAATTTTATAGACTGGAAAAGTAAGGTACTCTGCTTATGAAAATGGGCAAATCAGTGGCATTACCTCACCCCAAAAGAAAGTTAACATTTACCGGAGCTCATAAATTGTTTACTTTACAGAAAGAAGGCGATAATGTGCCGACACTTTGATAGGGCGAGGGTCCAGGATGATTTGTCAAGACTCCTGGTATTTATGGTAAAATGGGTGCAATAAATAAAGGTAGTTGAAGTGATCATTAAGGGAACACTGTGCACCTCCGCTCATGCATGTATATGAATCGGTTTCTGCCCTTAGCCACTTGGTTTTGGCATTCGCTCACGAGACAAAAAGTGGGACTTGCACACATCAATTGACTGTTGCATCGCCGTCTTGAACTGAAATTTCATCAACTCTGCGTATAATTCAGTCACTTCTGTGAGGCCATTTAGAGGCTGAAAATTCTAACGGTTGATAACTTAACTCGCAATGATGATGTACTGAAGAGGTGAATTTGAGTACAATCACTTCCCTTCATCTGACAACTTAATAATCCTTAATGCGAGACGATGCATCATGCTGGCGCAAAGCAGATTCCCTCATGCTCATATGTTGTCAAGTAAATTTTCGACCACTCAATCCCATTTTCACCTGGATGCGTACTACCAATATAAAGTACTCCGTCTTAGCTATCCAATTAAATATGGAAATTTTTGTTCAAAGGAGAATCCAGAAGTTGGGAGATTGAACATTTATTTCACCCACCGAATAAACCACGGTTTCTTTTTATTATGTACTATTTTTTTAAGTGCAAACACTTTAATTGGGATTGAATCGTGTGTGATACGATGTAGAAGTGATTTGAAATTCCGAGTGCTTTCATTTATGGCACTATTTCTTCCTCTCTAAGCATTTAATACGCGGATATGCCCACACTTGTTTTCTCTATATTTCTAAATATTTTTAACGAGGAATTTACCCTAATTACTGGATGCATGAGCTCCCTTCACTGCGGGGTCCGACTGGGTGGGGAACCGATACCAGAAGGCAATTTGCTCTTAAAACTTTAGTAGCAGTTTAACAAAGTAATCCACTTGGTATTTGGCGGAACACGCATGCGAGTCGATGGTACCAGTGGAGGGGCAGTGGAGTTTGCGTCACTAGGATGGGGGAGGGAATGAAGACCGGTGAAAGACGTTTGGGTCAGGCACAACGACCAAGTGTGACTCATCACTTCCTTATTAGGATGTTCTGACCCGAGACTGAGGAATACGCATTCACCAGTCCAATTGGGCTGACCTCGTTAAAACAACACCAGACTTTTTAGGTGATTGATGAAATAAGCCGCATTCCTCACTTGCTGGTAGGCAAAGGAGTTAGGGCAAGCAGTTTAATGTCCGTAATGGCTGTAACATGTTGACAGTTTTTACAAAACTAACTCTTAGCTAGTAAATGTATTTAGAAGTAAGCAAATGAAGATTCATCCAAAAGGAGCCTTTCTGGCCCATGAAGTTCTTTTTGCTCACTAGAAGGTAAAGGAAACAGCAGAACTTCAGTAAATTGTCCTAGGTAATTTTTGGCTTCATCGGCTTCTCTAGGTTCCAATGATCGTGTTGAAAAAACACTTCACCCTTTCCTTGTGCATCTCACCTTCCTTCGTTTTTGGCAGCCGCCACTGATGTGATTGATGGTGAGAGTCCGTGCTGTCTAATTAACATTGAAAGGCCAGAATGGAGCACAAATTGGCTAAAAAAATAGCAGGCCAAAGGAAGCTGCATGTGGCCTTTGTTTAGAAAGTTTTTAATTCTTCGTTTTTATTTCCTTTTCCAAGCGGGAAATAAATGCTCTTTAGGGTACAAATGGACATTTACAATTACCTTATGAATAGCTAAAAAGCATCGGGCACTTTGACTGGAAAATGGTAGGCCCTTAAAACTACTAAGACATTGAACCATGCATTTAGTTTAAATGCCTAAGCAATTATAAACGAATACTTCCAAAATCATCGCAAATGCTAGTATCAGCGGAACTTGGGCATAAATGCCATGATAACCATGACAATTATTGCTAAAACTAACCAATTTTAAACGGAAATAGCCGAAAAATTACGAACAAGCGTCAATCGTGCGTAGCAATGACGACTTTGATTAGGGGTAATTTAATGCAGTTGATCATTCATACTTTACAAATAAGGTGCATCAACTTTTCTTGTAAAAGTTATGCTAATTACTCACTTTTGAAAATTTCAAGCAAAACAGGAAAAGTACTGCCCACACAGTACAGACGGCAAAATTAAGCCTATGTGCGGTCGCGTGCCTTTTATGCCACCTGGAATATGTTCACTACCGCTCAGTTGAAAACAATACACTGACATTTGGTAAGCGATCAGACCAGAAACATGTGATTTACATGGTGTGCGGGCATGCATGAAGTTTGGTAGGACAAATAAATCATCATAAAGGCACCACCACCGGTTGCTAAGACAACACGTGACCGACTTCTGTGTCGTCCCCCAAGTGTATCCAGAGTGTAGTCGTTGACACAGTGGAATACGTGTAGCAAACCGTGCAGACGAGAACACGACCTCGTTTGGCCATGAGAGAGGGAAAACATGGGAGTGAATTATTTGCTCACCTTTTTCCTCCACGTTTATGCGTGCCTGCTAGCATTCCCGTCTAAGCGCAAAACTTCAATTGTTTATCTCGGGGTTGCAGAAAATCCACTGGCATTTACAGCCTGAATTTCACGGTCACAGAAAGTGGCTTCTGTCTTAAAACCAGATTCACCACTTTTTACTGCGAATAATAGTCAGGAAGGTGCAGAATTTCACAATTCGCTAACTCTTTGCACGTTGAAAAATCATTATATTGTAGTTAAAAACAACTTTATTGCTATTGGTCAAAGTGTAGCTACTGTCAAAATCAGAAATTTATTATTGGTAATTATTCCACGATTAAAAGATATATATATACAGAAACCTTATTCCCCTTGGTAAATTCATTTTCATAAGTCTCATGCCTTCGGAAATGGAAGCGATCTAATTCGCGATCATTTGAAAGTGTGAACAAGTGTTATACAATGATGCGGAGCCTTGAGGAATATTCGATTATTATTTGAAATATCACATATCGACGTCTCCTTATTTTAATAAGGGAAATTCCAGTCAATATATCTCAAAAAGTAAGTAAATATGCAAACTTTAAACGTTATGGGTTTTTTACAAAGTACATCCTATGCAAAAAAAATTCATATTCACATTCCATGATTAGTAATAAAAACGCACATGAGCGCTTCAAAAGTAACATTCGCTATTCACTTCCCAAATAGGAAATCATAATAGATTGCTAGCACATTCCAATTCATTCTTATTGTATGCTGTACCCCTATCTATTTAAAATAACGCACTTAAACCCTTAAAAGACTAAAATAACCTAAATTCTACTCCATAACCACGTATAAGCACCACAACTCATATTCTAAGCATGAATTTGGAGTCGTCAGTTGCGACATTTATTTTTTCTTATTTGCAGTATTGTACAAAACAGACTCCGGAGGAGGTTCAAAAACGCGCACGACGCAATTACCTTCGACGTGCAAGGTCACTCTACAATCAAGGGGGTGCGGCTTACTCGACCCACTACAAGAGGGGGCCTCGAAGGGCCGAAGGAGTGCGCAGGCGGTTCACGCGTGAGGAGCGAAGGACGAAGCGAGTGAAGCGATTGGTTAGACAGTTAAGTCGCAGTTTTCGAGAGTACTACTGCGAATGGCATCGGGAAATCTACACGCTACAACCGGAGTGCAGCTGCATGTGTTGAACAGTTTAAATTGTGTTCCTCCCTCCGCCCTTATGGCTCAGATACTTTCATTGCAAACCATCTTCCTTTCGATTACCAGACGCAGTTGACTACAACTTCCCCACAAACACTACTTAGGCGTATACCTGTAACATATCTTCACCCCTTCCTTTCACATCGCATTTCACTGAACTGTTGTCCTTGCCCTTTTGTGAATACAACTACTACTTTCAAAAATTCATAAGTAGCTACCATAAATATATTTCAAAAAGTGTTTATGAGATAAGACATTTTCTTTTGGTCAACATCATTAACATCACTTTCGGTGATACTTCAACATGACTTCACACTTTTTTCATGCTTGCTGTGGCAACCAAATGTATTAAGGATTACAAAACGTAGGTATGGAGGCAAATTCGCATGGAAGAATGGAAGAACTCGAATGCTTGCACCAGAGCCTTGCGGAACCACCATATATGGCAAATCGCGAGCGAATAGAAAGGCAAAAAAGCGGCACTAAATAAAGCACGTATTTTTCGGTGATCTTCTTGTCCACCTTCCAAAGGCAAATCTGGCATGCATTAGAATAATCCCAATGCTAGAAACATGTGGCTATTAGTCTTTAATTAATAATTTACTATTTAATATTGCTTTGATAAAACCTATATCACACACCGAACGGGTACAAGGAGCAATATACGAGAATAGTGAATGTGTACCACTGGAGTGCGAGGGTTCAATTACTAGAATTTTGAACGACAAACAATCCAAAAGATAGAACAAAAGATTCTCTTTAGCAGCCTTACTTTTATTGATGGAAGGAATATGCCATCCTAGCAATGACCACGCTGCTTCTGTACGATCCCGACAACTCAATGAAAGATTCCCAGTTTACACTCTTCGTTCTATTGTACATATTACCATTCCCAAAGAGCGACACCAGAATAACAACCTCAATCGACGCTGTGAATAGAATTTCAAAATCACCCATGAATAATGAATGTGTTGACACTTTATACATTGATTTTCAGGTAAACATTCGATGGTATCCATAATCCCCTTTAAAACAGCATACGACGAGACATAGTAATGACCAATTTGTGACCGGTTGCCTTAAACTTATGTGCTAATTTGGTTTTAAATTACCATATTTTGTCAAATGTAATAAGTAAAGTTTGGGATTAAATGGGATTGCTTATAAGTAGATATAAAGTAAGCAATTCCGAGATTACCGACATTAAATTTGACCTGAAAACATATGAACGACTTCCCTAAAAATGGATAGATAAAAACTGAAGTTTTTAGAAAGGAACGCTTAGATGCCGCACATTTGAAGAGCATACATTCATTCAATATTGTAAAGCTTGAATACAGTTTCTTTTCTTACATAAAAAGCTCCTTAAAAGGATACCTTTCAGTGTCCAAGCGACGTTCGTTCCATGGGCATCTCGAGCTTTCCAAAGTAAAATAGTTCCAATCTTCAGAGCGCATAAGGCAACCGCGATCTATGTTTGAATTTCAAGAAAAACCCATTTCGTAGCTGCATCCGCACTTCAGTCAGACCTTTCATCTGACCTCGATGAAGAAGGATTAAAAGCGAATCAAATAAACCGAAATGCTGGCTATTTCAAAGGTAAAACCCTTGTAATGACTGACAATTACCCCACCCTTCCCACTGCTTATAGAAAGCTGTGGTAGTACCTTTAGTATATGAGAAATATCACCCAACTTGCTTCATAAAAGTGGATGCCTTGTCACTCAGAGTGGAGACTATTTAAATAGAAACTATTACAGTTACACTTGTAGAGGAAGAAGTAGGCAGGTACCTTCGAGTATTAGAAGCAAGAAATGCTAGTCATTTCAAATTACGAAGTGTAACATGTATGTCACCCAATAACCGAACTGCGGTGTGCACAAAGAATTTTCTGTTTAATTATTAGAGTTTTGAGCACGCAATAACGATTTCACTGTCATCCACTCCCCCACAGCCTGTTGGCCATCGGATTCTGATCGCTGAGTCCTTTATAATGCTAGAATTGGGCACTTAATTGTTAGCGATTCAATTTAACCTTAGGCTTTCATATATGTAGATCTGAATTTCGCATTTGATTTTGAGTTACAGGAGGAAAACACATAAAACTAGAAGCAACAGTTAATTTTTATTGCTGAATGTTATGTACTGTTAGAATTCATTTGAAACATAAGTCAAATATCACCTGAAATGAATGCAAGAATTCACGACAAAGATCTTGAAGGTGATTGTTTTGATACACACAACCATACATCTATAAAAATAATCATTGTAACATCACAACGACTGCCATTCGTTAGTGCACAATTCGTCCAGTGTCCAATTTGTGTTCTGAATATAGACGCAGATGACAGCACTAGATTGAATTATAAGTGATAAGCATATTCACTTTAAAAAAATCACGGAAGCCTTATGAAATGCAACTTTCCGGAAGTGTACACTACATTAATCAATTTTCAAAATCGAGAATGTTTGGTTTAGCCACCTCAAGTGTGGAAATTCTTCTTGCTAGCAATCATGCACTTTATTTCCTTGGCACTTTTACTCAAGATACAAGTGCCCAAATATACCCTTTCTCATTAAGTTTTTTTTAATAAAACAGCTTTGATAAGATTTGATGTTTTATTCACTCCTAGCATGATTGCTCTATCTGATCCACACAAATTTAATCTATGAAAATTTTGTCGTTTGATTTTGGAGCATGAATACGGTACTTGATAAAAGCTAGCTGTTTAATCAAGCTTGCGAAAATCAAACACGTGGTGGGAATGCTTACTTAAAATCACTGAATAAAGTAGAAATTTGTTTATCCACCATAACATTAAATGAATGCTGAGTACTAGCCTTTCTACTGCATTAAAACCAATGTTGGGATTGGAACCCGTCATAGAAATCAAACTATCCATATATTGAACTTGAGCTTTTCGTGATAGCACATAGAAATTTCACTCATTCCTGAAATTGAGCAGGATTTCTAATCATCACCAGTGCTTAAAGCTTGTTTTAGCAAATTTACTATGAATTAATTCCATATTAACAATCATACTATTCACAAAATGAATTACTTGTCACCTTGATGTGTTCCAGGCCCTATTTTCAAGCGTATTAAATGTGTCTGGCGATTGTCACGATTTTTAGCAGATGGAAGGGACCGGTAGAATCAGATTACAGACGCAAATGTACAGCCGAAAAAATATTACGCCACACAACCGACACACATACGTGATTCATTTCGTAATACGACCTGTCTCCGGTACAGTCACGTAATCTCACCGTCTCTCCGTTCCTCCTCCTATGCGCAAAGCCCGAGAAAGACGCTTGATGTCGGTAACCCCGGCAATGAATCAAAGAACGAATGTTGTACATAGCGAACTTAGGAGAATTTTGCTTCAAATTATAATCTTCGCATTTTCAGGAGATCGCAAATCGTTCAGGGACAAATTTGGAGTGCAAAATATTGCTTTACTATTCAATGAAGTGGGAGTATGCTTCAATGAATGGCTCCATCTTTACTCGGCGCAGGGAGTGAAATGAAAGGAATACTTTTCTGAACACCAAATCACCACAGCTAGCTTTCAAGTTCTTTGAAACAAAGCTTGTTAATTAAATTCGGGGCAACAATTTAGAAATAAAAGTGCTACTTATGCGAGTTGAAAGTAAGAAGCAGTTCCGTCACAAAAATATCATTAATGAAAAAGTTTTTCTCCTCATTAAAGTGCATACTTTTATGTAAGTACTATTTAGTTAATGCGAACTATTGCCAAGTAAGTTTCCATATCAGTCAATGCAGTAGCTGAGACAGGCTCAGGGTCAGCTCAACCTAGACGCCAGTGATTAAGATAGCGGGAAAGGCTGGTATTGGGTACATGGAAAAGCATAAGGCGATGAAGAATTAAAAAAAAGCTCAGAGCCCCAATTCGCAGGTGCTTAAATCTACAGTGGACTTTAAGCTCCTATGGCGCAGCGATGGGATGCTCAGACGCAGTAAAACAAAGCAGTTTAAACGGTTCAAAATCGACCTTATGTATGTCTGTCAGCGGCGATATCAAATCGCCGCTTCGGAAATCCCACCCTAAACATTTATTCCGAGTAATACACGCATGCTCCCTCGCAAAGTCAAATCTTCATGCAAAAATGGTAAACGAAATCATCCAGAGATATTTACAATTGCGATAGCCAATTTCGTGGACAAACAAACCGTATTACGGTATCACATGCCTAAGCGCTGATCCCAATCCTTGAGTACCGCAGTGATGAAAAGGTTCTGAATGATTCAATGAACTTTTCTTACATATTAATATGTAATTTCGGAGTACAGAATAAGAATATCCCGCATTTCATGGCACCCGAGACTATAAGTGTGTTAAGCACTAAAAATCAGTGTTCACTGTCGGAAATGCAACTGGTAACTTCCACTTTCATTGAAAATTGAGTTTTCATTCAGAAATTTGGCAATTTGATGGAACATCTTTCATACTTTATCCATAATATCACAAACAGGGAAGTTTGATATAGAACTAGCAAAAAACGAGTCATGCTTTATTTTTGAATGACAGAGATCACTTTCCAAGGATTTCCTAGAAACCCACGAAGATCGTGTTTGGGGAAACGTATTTAAACATATAATCACCATATGAAATGGGGATCTGCTTACTCTACTTTGTTACTACGAATGGTTTATCGACCAGAGGAGATAGTAAGTGAAGAATTTACAATTAAACGGATCTTAGTCAAACTATGCAAAAATTTTGACGTTGGCAAACAGTTTTTCGTGAGAAAATACTACAGTTCAGCATAATTTTCGCAATGATAGTCACTCGGAGTAGCGGAGATTCGCATTTTTCTCAACAAGAAACCGTAAAATCTTGGCGATGTTGCGACAATCATCTAAAATAAAACATCGCATAAGCAAGTAACTTCGAAGAAGCAATGGCCAACCTATGCCACTGTGAAGGCGACCTTCGTGAGGGATGCCTAGATTCCTCAACATTGACACGACCCCATCAACATGATGACCGGTGTATTCAGTATAAGCCTAAAGTGGTAAGTGTATTTAATCATGAATTATGATCCGAACCCAAGTAATGCTACGATTTTTGAAGGAATTAAGAGAAAATAATAGATAGTGATGACAACTGTGCAGTTTATTAATACTAATGAGTTCTCGTGGCTTGAATTTCATTAAATTAGTTATTTTGCCATAAAAAGGTTTCCTTAGTTCTCAACGTTCCTCACTTATCGAAATTAGAGATTACATGGAAAACTCAATGATAAATCAGGATGCAATATTTAGCTATGAATGCACAATTAACAAAGTGGTTGGAACTAAAAGCGTAGCGTTTTTTAAATAAGTTGATTGAAATTCTCAAAAGATGAACTAATATGGAGGAATAAAAAGTGCTTAACTTCTTCACATTTATCCACCGTCGGCAATAAGGTGGAACTTGACAGCCGGAAATAGAGGCCTGATGGGGCAACCTAAAGCAAGGATAAGTAAAATGCAAAGCCTTGAATTTGCCTCGAAGCTACGCAATTATAAAATACAGGTCAGAAATCACGAGACGCTAATTAGCATTTTATCATTATCAGCAGTAACCCAAAGAATAATTTACTTCATTGAATAAACTTAAAGTTAAGGAAAAGTAGCAACGTTAGCGTTTTCATATCTACAATTCACTAAATGCCAATGATTAAACAGCTACTCATGCAGATAGCGACGTGAAATTGTAGGTTCTCTCACATGAAACGCAAGTCCCAGTCTCCACAAGTAACGAAGGTAAAAGTCGACTTTTCCTTATCAGTTGGGAAATGGCTATCCACCCAATCCTCGAATTTCTGCGAGGAAAAGGAAGTGTGCGCAGTTCTTGTTGACTCAGGTTGACTCCTAGTAATACATGGGAGCAGTACGATAAGACTCACTTTCATGATGGTGGAAAATGTCGGCTGAGAATCCACCATGTCCTGAATTATTCCGGTTAACTGAAGGGGTGAAAGTTAAAATTAGTTCAGCTATACCGAATTTCTACTAATTCGAATAAGTAGGTTTGTGTTATCTGATAACTGTAACCCAACGCTACAATCCAAAGTTAATATTTAATTACTGTGCAGCATTAAAAATAACTCGACTCCTCATAGAACTAGGATAAAGCGGACCATTCGAACAAACCTGCATTAATTTTGTCAACTACTTCTCTGTAGCCTCTGCCGCTGATCATTGAGTAAATCGACTTCGAATTTTTGCGGGACCTTAGTCACATGCCAACTTACTTGAAAGCATTCAGCTTCCCATAAAATCAGTCAGAAAATGAATTCTGACATTTAAGGTTTCCCTTTAACTACATATTTTAAAAGTCCTGTTCGACCTATTACTTTATTTCATAATAAATAATACAGAATATAGTACTCATTTTTTTTCACATTTTTTGCGCATAATTAGAGGTGTTTCCAGTAGAATTTAACAATATTTACAATTCAAGGTTCTTGTCGAGATTGAAATCAACTTAGTAATTGCATAAACGGTTAAAAAACAGAAAATTCAGTCTCTCAAACAAATTAGCAATCCAAGTTTTCACAAGGACCAATGATAGGGAGGCTTTACTTAGGCAACTACAGGAACAATCGGAAACTTCGAATAAGCAGACTTGGCATAATTTTTGAAATGGCAATATTTACTAAATATAATAATGCAACGAGATGACAATGCTAATTCAGCATAAAAAATTACACAACTATACTATAGTAATCGAGTAAATTCCATCACACAACCAATATGGGAGCAAAATGGAACGTCTTTAATGGAAATTAGCCTCTGAGGACTTAAAAACTGAGAAACAATCCTACCATTTGAAAGAGGACTCACCCTGGTGCAGAAATCAGAGAGTTGAGGACGAATGACAGGTCGCACATATCGATGGAAACAGTCGATTTCACGAAAGCTTTGTCCCTCCAGCAGAACTACCGGGAATTCGATTATTTCCTGGCGCTGAATGTGACCACGTTCAAAGCAGGTAGCTTCAAAATCGAGAACCATAAAGCTGCGTATCCCTTTCACCAGTTGACCAGAAGAGTTCACGTATCTTCTGGCCTAGAAAAATAGAACGAATTCCTACTTTACATCTTGTTAGTAGGACAGTTCATAAATTCACGAATTTATTTTAGTTGTATTAGTCCACAAAAATAATCCCATCATTTATTCGCCTCTACTTATGTAGTAGAGCCAAACAAGCTAGCAACTTTAAATTACAAACAGACAGCCGCACAAAAATGCCGTCAAATATCTCAAGCTATTTTGTAAAAAAAAACAATTTTGAAATGCTAGTCCAGTATTTCTGTTTTTGAATTGAACACCTATCGATATGAGTGTATTCACACGCAATGAGACTGTGTGTTAAATTCACTGAGACAATGATCTAGAACTGCCGCAATTCATGAAGATATCTTCAAAAAACATGAGAATTAAATCAAATTTTTGATAACGGGGGGTACAAAAATAACAACAGAGCATTTTGAGAATCAAAACCTATAAGCGATGATTATTTTTGCGCTGGACATATCATACCGCTAACGACCGTGTTAAAGAGAATGGTACTAAGGATTTCCACCCTTTTGCAGGATTGACACAGCGATACATTCGCAAATATAAAAAATTTATGAGAGGTTAACATTCCCAACTCGTGTAGTTCATATTTGACCTGGGGAATTAATTTTTGTGCAAATGATTTCAGTTTTGATTACGACAAGCCCAAGATTTAGATGTGTTAAAAAAGTAACGGCGCCCTTAGTTTGACATTAGTTAATCTTCCCATTGATAATGCGACAAAGGCAAGCATGCGATTCCACCATCGACACACGAAGAGGGTCGCATCAAGTTAGCGATTTAAATTACTAAACGAAAGGCCAAACAAGCCGCGCCACAGAACCGTGGCTCTAAATTAGCTACACCAATATTTGTGCACAAGTTTAGAGAACATTAACGATTCGGAAAGTGCACCAAAGCCAACTCCAATAACCTAAATGTTTCCCCTTTTGTTCACTTGGTAGAACAAAAGTGTATATTGGCCGCTAATCAGTGTGCGAAAACGGTGGAGGAGTACGAAGAAAAGCCAGAAATGGTGTATGCTCATCCAGCAAGGTCATCGCAATCGACGTTCCTAGCAGTAAGCGCAATATCTTTGTGAAGATGAGTATTCCCCGTCCGAGAATAGAAATAAGAACTGGAAAGAAGTCATCTGAGCGAATGAAGCACCCTTTTGAAATTTCAAGCATACTACAGCGGTGGAGAATCTCTAAGTATGAGTAATGTTAACCAGGGCTGTCTCGGAGAGAAGTAAATGATTTAAAGACAATTTGGTCAGGCAGCCCCCACTTAAATGACCAACAATAATCATCAATACGACCAAATCAGGAAACACACAAGAAAACAAAAATATCAGTGTAGAGCATCGTTATTAATCTCTATCTCGACTGATCCAAATGACATGGGTGGATGGGAGGTAGAGAGCGGAGAAGGGAAGGAGAGAAAAAAGTTATCACAGAGGCAGCAAGAAAAGAGTAAGATTGGAATCTAGGAGTGATTTTCCGCCTCATAAGCAAGCACAGCCTCGATGATTTCCACTGCAAGGCGTTGGAGGAGGTGGGCACAGGCCTTTTGAGATTCCGATGGACCCAGCGATACCGCCTCCTCCGCCACCACTGGCTCCATACCTGTTACGACGGGACTGCCCGACATCGGCGGGCCGGTCTGGCCCTCGTCAAACGCTGGCAGGCGTGCCAACGCGTCGCCAGGGGTAACGAAGGCCAGAGACGCCGACTGATGAGAGTGGTATAGCGAAGAGGACGACTTGTAATTACTCACTTTACGCTGTGGCTGGAATATTGAACAGGTGCATTCTGTTAAAAATAAAATTGGTACTCACATGGAATTTGCAAAAGGCCCAGATTCATTGGTAAAACCACAGTGGTGAAAGAAGGCAAATTTTGATATAAGGATTTCATGCAAACGAACTATGGGTTTGGACCGATAAAAGCGACCCAAAACCTTTCTGAGTTGAATGTTTTACTAGTTAGACATACCCTTATTTGACCAGATACATCTATTACTAATAGTAAAAACCTTCATACTAAGCGAAAACAGTTTATCGCTTATTGAACGAGTTCAAATCAAAAAGAGCGTTTAGTGAAAGGACGCTAGAGGATGATCACGATCCAGAAAGGGGGTATAAAATGGCACGAAAATGCATCCTCACACTAACCTAAAAGTACATCATAAGCAGCCAGAGGTCAACTCTCACGCGATAGTACTTAAAAGGAAATGGAGTATTTCACCAACCGGTATAAAGTAGAGTGAGGAACAGAGAGAGCGCCAAGATTCGGGCACAACGACTGGACCGCTCTTCAGCACCCCGCCTTCAGCGGCCTCGAGATTGAGGCCGAAGATCTGGCGTAAGGGGTGGGAGCTGGTCTGAGCAGCACACAGTGTTGCTACGTCGGTGGAGACCACAAAGAGAAGAAACCGCTGCAGGTTGGGACATTCGCGGAGAATGGGCACGTAGCGAGTATCTAGGGGAACGGCAAGAGAGAAAACGAAATAAGCGAATGACATATTAAGAGTCGAAACCAATGTGATAAGCTGAGAACGACTGATTGAAATAAACAAAAGGCAGCTTCCAATCATTAGAGAACTGAGTCAGCATTCGAAAAATAGATTGGGAGATAGCCTCATCAGGTAATTTAAGCAAGGAGAATTGAAATTTGTAACTGACTAAATTTCGCCAGGGCGAAAATTACAACAAACAAAATCTTATGATGGAGATCCCACGATCTAAATTAAATCATGAGATGGACGCCTTTGTGAAATTTCAACGTCAGTAGCCTGAAATGATGAAGTCAAGTGACACAGCGACGGTTAAGTTACCACCACAACCTTTTTACTATTGCAGCCGATTCGTGCTTCAACAAGATGCGAGTTTCGCATAATGCAACCTTCTTCAAATGGGCTATAATCGAAGCAGATAAAAAAGTCAGTCAATATTATAAAAATTTAAATTTTGTGATACAGAGACCGAGATTCAAATTAAATAATGAGGTAGTCCCCTGCACGAAAGTTACGATTAAATGACCTAAATAAAAAAAGATGTGAATTATAAAGTGGTAATAATAACTGCCAAAATTTAACCATCACACGGAAGACAAAAGCCTGAGATTTTTCATGAAGATGAAAGCAAACAAAAGTTTTTTTGCTTGGTGTACTTTCGCATTGATCATTTGGCAGAGCCTATAAATAGACGCCACGGAACAATCCGAAAAGGGCTCAGTGAATTAAGCTTTTTTGGCTAATAAACTGCCCAAAGTACGAACACCTACTCCGAAGGAAATGGAAGTCCCACGAGGAGGCACAATCATATGCGCAAATTGCGTCGTACGATGGAGAAGTGCGTTGCTATTTTGTGACAGAACACGAAAATTTTGACAGCGAATCTGATACTGCGTCGAATCGGAGCCTCAACAAATTTGAACGGGTCCAATTTGGCTACCAGACATCGACATTTGTATCAGAAGGTAAACTTCATGTTAGCACAATGAGCTCGCCATTATAATTAAAAGGGACTAATAATCAAACCTTCTCACCAACCAAGCATCTCCATCGGCGATCAGTATTGAAAGTAAATAGGACGTATTTGGTTTATAACATTAACACTGGAAAATTTCAATGCGTTCTCGCAGACGCGCACTTTTGAAAATTTCATACCAGGCTAGCATTTATTACGTGATCTCTGAAAACCTTTTCGAGTTAGAATTTGCCAGCTTTTAAATTTAGATGTACAATTTACCTTTGACTGAATAATGAATACCTTCAAAAGTAGAGTAGCGTGAAACAAAAAAGGCATCCTTCACTATAACTAGGTGATAACGTATGTTAAATGGAAGTGATTACCATCTAGTTATACACTAACAAACACTTCGCGGTTGTGCAAAGCAATAAACAGGTGACGGTTTTCTATGCGTACGGCAAATAGGACCAATTTTTGTCACCATAGCAACAAAACCAACTGTGGTAATGAATGTTTGCAGCATTTAATTGCGGAATTTCACACTTCTTCAAAATCGCTACAATAGAAGGTTAAATCAAGATAACTCCGACGGATAAAACCATCAAGTGCGGCAAAGTATGAAAGAAGCTTGGCCGCCACTTTCCATTGCGAGTACACTTGCATATTTCAGGCACACAACAGCAACAGATGAGGCTTTACTGATGTGAAAGAAAAAATCGACGAAGGAGAAATGGGGTAAATTCTGACCTACTTTTTTTAGTGAGAATGTGGTGAATGGCCCAGACAGCCCAGAGGTGAATCTCAAGTCGACTGTTGGAGTCAAGGATGAGCGATTGGAAGGGATGGAAAGAACGATAGGCGACCATTTCATTCTGCGGTGGCGTCCATTTGCACACAGCCTCACCCTAGAAGACGGAGAAGCCACTTTAATAACGAATCAAAAGGCCTGCTGAACTTCCAATTTACAGCGCTACTAGCTCAAGCTATAGGTAAATCCTATGGTTTCTGAGATAATGGCATCCTAATGGGTGTCAAAATATTGTTCATAAGAAGGAGATTCAAAGTCGGTTTAGTACTTAGAGAAGTAACCAACTTCACCTTCTGGGTCAGTTAATTTTGGGAGTAAATCCGGTTCCCAACATAAAACGCACATTTCTAGGAGCTCAAATATGCTATGTGGAAGAATTTCCTAATAAGTCAAACAAAGAGGTGGTTTTAACCGATTACCGACAACCTTTTAATATGAATTAGGAAAATTTGGTTATTAGGTAGTGCCAAGTATTGACTGAACAACCAAATAACAACCTTAATGGTTTTAGGAACATTCCTCAATTCCAAGGTAGGATTTATGGTATAGAGTTATAGTCTTCTCGGGGTCGAAACATCCAAACTGAATTAATTTTAGCCGTAGTGGTGCAAACTTTAAGTGGGCCGTGATTTCGCCAATTTACTCAATTAATTAACTTCCATAACGAAAAGACTTTTAAGAAATGAAAGCTGAGTTAATTAAGAGGTTAAATGCAATCTAAAAGACTGGTATTCGGGATGTGGCATAAGTTTCTAATGCAAAAAATGCTTTACGCAAATCAGATGTTCATAACAGGAAAATGGGGTTCAATACAGTTATCTTAATGTTTCAGTTCCTTACTGTTTCGTCAGACTAGCTCGCCAGGACAGCAAAACGGAGACTGTGGTGAAAATGGACCACATTAGATTCGTACTGTTCCAAGTACATTTATGTAAACCATAGTTCTAAGAAATCACAGACCTAGTGGATATCAAAACACATTTTTGTTGAGAAACCTAGGTAAACAACGCTAAATAGTAATGATGTGCGCAGCATTTCAAATGAATACTGTCTGAATTGCATTGACAAGTGAAATAAGAGACATTCATGGGGACTATCCCAAAGCATGAAGCGGCACTAGTTACCAGTGGAGTAAGATTTAGCTCTTAAGTGGGGGCAAAGACAAATCCTCAGGTGTTATTGTAAGTTTTATTATGAACCTAAGGTGGGCTAATTCAGAGACGCGAATAGCTTGAAATGCACATAACAATTGCTGTGATACAACAGTAGATATATATCCTCCATCAGGGCACTTATCATGAAAAAAATAGACTTTTGACGTTTTTACATATTGCTTTATCTGCAAACAGGGTGATTTCATAGACCAAAACTCCCATAAAATCGGAAACTTTTTAATACAATATTCAAACAAAATGACGAAAAGGTCAAATTACCGAGAAACAACATTTCGTTCATTCAACATGTCAAACAAACAAGAATTTAAAAAGTGCAGCTATCTTCAACGACCTAATATTTTGAAGCAGTGTAAATAAGTGCTTTCACGAATGTAATTTATTAAATTCGACTCTGACATTTTGTTTGAAAAATGTGCTACACGTTTAACAGCGGATTAAAATGTAATGCATGTTCGAGACATGTTTACAATTAAGCAGTAGTTGCAACTTAGAAAATATTAATGACTTAATGAATATGGAGAGGCAACTCACCAACACTCGAATGAATTCAGCTTTGTTATACTGCAGAGCAGAGATCCACACATCATCAGGAAGACAGGCGAGATGAGAGACAATTCCTGCGGCGAAGTAGCTGATCTGAATACTTGAGTGACTTAGCATTTTACTAATAGGAAGAAAAGCGAAGAAAAAGGCAATTAGCAAAAATAAAACCAAGAAATAATTTGGCCCATTAATAACAATTAATTTTGGAAGAGGCACTCACAGGGTCAGCACCCCATAAAACATAAAGCACAAAAATGTGGATAAAATAACGTTTTCTGAAAAAGCTACGATTTCTACCATCAAACAGCAAAAGGTTTTAGACCGAAGCCACACCAATAAGTTAGAATATAACTTAAAATGAAGTGACAATCTTCAAAATAGTAGAATTCGTGGTCCGAAACATACTTGAAGAAGTCCATCAGCGGTTCAATGAGCAGAGTATTCTTAGTAGAAGATACTTCAGCCACATTATTCTGAAAGCGGAGAAAGTAAGGCGATGGGTATAAACCCTAAATTCGCAGCTACAATGAAATCAACTTACCAATAAGCCGAGGCACTTGGTATAAACGTGATTCTTAAAGTCTTCCTCCTCATTGGCCATTTTCTGTGAATATCAAAGGAATAATATTAGGTGAAATACGGGTTTGCCCTCCCAGATCTTATTAATAAAGATTCCACACTTTAAAGGCGTCTCATTTATTGCTTAAGAGAAAGCATTTGTAAGGATCCCAAACAAAAAAGAGGAATTTTCAAACAATTCAAAGGGAGGATAATGAACCAACCTTGAGAACCTTTGCGTAGATAAGGAGACCGCCAACCTTAACGAAGGCCTGGCAGGCCTCGGGACACTCATCGGTAAGGTTCCAAAGAGCGGAGAGCGTAAAGCGGAGGGTGGTGTCGTAGACGGGCGAGCCCTCAAGAGCCACCTCGGCGTGGCCTAGGTAATCCAGCATATTGTCGTGCGACTCGGCCAGCAATGCGTCCACATCGCGTTGGAGGAGGCACTTCTCCACCACGTACATTAACAGCTGCTGGAGACGCTTGTGGTCGGAGGAGATCTCGCGCAAATCGGCGGTAGGGATCTGCAAAGAGTTAATCATCAGTCATTTTCAGGCTTAGAGGACCGTCAATTTCATTGAACTCCGATCCTAGATTCCAGTTAGCAAAATCGACTGACCGCATTTTTTTTGAAAAGTTACCGGGCAAAATACACGGTGCCACTAGTCTGAATCCCGAAATACGCTATAACGCCGGAGTTTAGAAGATCCTAAAATAATTTAAGAGGGACGCCGGTACTTTTGATAGTTAAAACATTTAGGTACCTTTGACATTGAGTATCGTTGCATGTTACATGCATGTAAACTGGGGTTCGGGCCTTAAAACAATGTGACTGCAAAAATATTTCATTATAAAGAAGAATAAGATTCAAAAGATCTGCCAGTTACCAAGTGAATTTCCGAGGCCAATCTTACAAATTTAAATTCTTTACAATCCCTAAACTTCAAATTAATAAAAAAAGGATTAAAATTATTGCGTTAAGAAATAAATTCAAATAGTTTCCCTGAAGATTCATTTATTCACCATTTATTGTTGATTAAGGGACCGAATGCACTCAATTTAGCGCCCATTCCAGCCTAAAACATCCAGTTTCTCACATGAAAGCAGCTATTTTCAAAGGCTCCCTAAGGAGTAGAAATTAGCGCCGAGAGAAAACAATCCCATAACATATAAGTTCTCAAAAAACGCCTTTTCATAACTTCAAGAAACTTTAAAACCTACAAATTTACTCAAACTGTTGTATTTAAAGTCGACAAAATCCAATTTACACGAGTTAACTATCTACGAGAAAAACAACACACTTTTTAGATGAAACAAAGTTGGCGATACCCAAGATAGAAAAAGCAGGTTATCAAGAAAAAATGGGCTAAAGCATTTTCAAACTATGAAAGAAAAACGTTCGAAACTTACTTCAGCAGCCAAGATGGAAATAATCGCTACGCCCATGCGTTTCATGTGGATATCGTTGAATTTTATGAGACTTTTGAAAACTAATTCGCAGCAGCGCTTGCAGCTGAATTGCTACAATGAAAAAGGAAGCAACAAAACTTGATAACTCACAAAGGCAGAAGTAATGCTGGTAGAGATCCGGCTTACAGCCCTATGAAGGACGTTGTCGCTGCATAAAGTAAGAAAGCAGTTCTTTAACAGCTGCACCTGTCCCTGGTGGTGTTCAATAGACATGAGAGTGATGCTGACAGCTCGGTTGAGCAGCTCTAATGGTAAATGAGCTGACTGCTCGCCTCGAGTTAGGTTGTAGACCACGGCCGTACCCGCCAGAATCATATCCTGCTTGTTCATGTGCAGTCTCATCACCCGCAACACGGCCTATGGGAGCAAAAATGTTGTTTTCATGTTATGCAAGAGGAATACGTAGGCCGATCTGGGTACATGAAAATCCACAATACCCATGCACTTGAACACGAAAGTCAAAAGGATAAACATAGCCATCTCACTAACTGGGTAGCGGAGGACAGTGATAGGGCGAATTGGCTTATGGATGAAAATAGTATCTTACTTTAGCTTAAGAGAAACTAACATTTTAAGTATTGGCGGAAATTCGACTGTTGGATGGAAATTAATGGAGCGGTCGAACTATGCCTTCAAAGTAGTAGCTCAATCATTTTGAATATTACTGAGACAAAAAGCGTGTGAAATAATTAAGTTAAAGGGTTTTTCATGTTGACAGTGACATCTAATAGTTTAAAAAGCTGCAACGAAGAGGAATCACAAACTACTTATTTGCCACATTTTATTTCGAATAATAGCCACCCAGCTTTCGAGCACACATTCAAAACGGAATAACTATTATGCCTGTGAACATGATAAAAATTGAATCAATGGAATTACTCAATCAAGGCGACTTTAAACGGAGTAGTAGATTTAAGAGCAAACAAAGCGAAGTTGAAAAGTAATCTACTTTAATATGTAGCTCAGTTATTAGTATCTTGCAAATTAGAACGATCGTTTAGCATACCTTATGACATTTCGGGCACTTAAATTTCAAAATTAAAGAAAGCTTTCTCAAGGTATCGATATTAAAGCACTCTATCACAGAAGCGCTATCAAGGCGGTGATGCAGATTTTAGCTACTGGAAAGAAATTAGCGGTCAGACAAGTGGCATTTGAAAGGTAAAGCGAAACTGAAAACGTGACAACGAAAAGATACGCTAACTGTTTTCACTAAATGCCATAGTAGTTGGTTTCAACATCAGAATGGATATTTTTGGAAATGCTTAAGTTTGGGTGAATAGAATAATTCCATTACCAAGCCCATATAGACACAATTGATCACAAGATAGCACAGAATTCGCTAAAAAGCTCTTTAGGGACTGAATATTCGGCAAAAATAAGCTCACATACAATTGGTTGTGAAGGACGACCGTGTGCCGCCCCTGTAAGTTACCGAATTTTAACTCAATCCCATAAAATACGAATCATCCAAAACTAAGGAAACTCGGCAATAACTTTACGGGTTCTTGAAGGTGCGAAAGACAGATAGCTCAATTCCAATAAAGCATTCCGAATTTTGCAATATCACATTTTATCAAAGCACTAAACCACATTTTTTTTTACAAAAGCCACCAGAAACAAACCGTTGGAGCAAGTTGTATACTTCTTTAAACATTTCATTATTAGGTTAATTATGGCAATCGGACTGAGGCAGTGAATTAAAGATTCATCTAAATCAGAAGCTTAATGGCGACAGTTGCTTGAAAGATATTCAAAGGAAAACCATTAAAACAGGAACAGATAAATTACGGTTGCATATACAGAAGCAGGTACTACGAAGGTTTGTGCTGATTTAAATTACGCTTCTACAAGCATATTTTATTCACTATAATATGATGAATGATTCGATTTTAAGTCGAAATTAGCCAAATTAAAGAATCCTTTTTCAAAAAAGTGTAGTTCAGAAAATCATTATCAAGTTAAGCCCGTGTTTGCATGTTTGTCGAAACTGCTTGTTGATCGAAAGATGCGAGGATACACGATTCCTACATCGCGATGTTCGCTTACTTTGCTAGTAATACAAGCATTATGATAAATGACAAAATTGCCAGTTATTCAATGGTAAACAAAGTCTTCTATTAAATGGTTTTTAAGAAAGGATGAGATAGCATAACATACGGCCAGAAGATCGGGATTTAGCCATTCTCGAGAGATGGTCTCTTCAAAAATGTTGTGAAATGCGTTCTGAAGGTAAATTCGACGATCCTTGTTCCTCATCAATGTGTTCAAAAGCGGTGTTTCGCCTCGGTCACCAAGCATCTGGGCAAAAAAATGTGTATGGGATAGGATTAACGATACGTACGATGGGGAAACAATATTCTCCAGTAAAGGGCACATTTTAAAACAGGAGTATTTTTTAAAAATGCCAGTTTTCTCCACTATGGCCAAGGAAAATTTCTCATTCGAAAATTTACATATTTATCAAAAAAACTTTAGGAAAATTCCATCCGCCCCTATTCGCCACACCTGTATTTTGCATCAAATAAAGGATAAGCAAGTAGAGAATCAAAATGGTAAGAGAGAAACCTGAAAGTAAATCTTATAATACGCATTGTACGGTAATTGCGGCTAAACTTTTGTATCCATGAGGCCGAGCCATTCGGTTAAATTCTGAAATAACTACTAAAGTCGTCAAAACCCAAAAGGACTCGATAGCTATAGAACAGTAACTATTTACATCTTATGAGCGCATTAATCAATTCAAAATAATGAGATTTTCACAATATTGGAGATGAAACCACTTTGTCAGAAAAACTGCAAATAATGACTATAAATAGAATACGAGTGCAAGGCCTTAGAGGCTTGAAGGGTAGGAGAACAAATAACCAAAAACATAGCAAAGTATGAAGAAATCTATAGCTACGATTCACACTGAGGAACTAGAAAAAATACGGATAAATTACGCCTTAGCTCAGAACTATGAAGGGAGGAACAAAATCGAGTCTTGAAAGTGGTAAAACTAACCGTGATGTGTGGATATTTCAAAGAAAGCTGGTAGATACCCTCCAGTTCGTGATTTTGGCGGGAGGGCCATGCTGCGAGACCGAGGAACTCCAAATTCGGGTGATTCACGATAAAGTTCCTAGTAAAAAAATCAGTGTTTAGGGCCTATGAAGGTTTTGATTTAAGATGGAGCCGTGATGCAGAGTTCCGGTGTAGGTCGGAGCAGATTGATTTGACATAATATGTAATACGCTGATCAATGAGATGCACCAGTGATTAAGTGTAATGAATACTCAGATTATCAGATCTGATAAAGTGGCTGCTGTATTTCAGCTTCACAAAAGGGATGCACGGACATCTGCCGGACAAATCGGATTAAAATTAATCGACTACCACATCCATTGATCTATAAAACTCACTTGCGTCCTTGAATTTGATTAAATCAAAACAACAAATGGCTGGCCTTTGAATTTTCCTAACAAATATAGCGGTCTCGTGTCCCTAAACACAGTGAACGACAAGTTCTAAGTTTACGTACCATCTTAACAAATTTACAGTGCCGACAAATGTTTGCAGGGGACTTAGAGAAAACTTGTGTAAGGCTACAATATTTCCTATTTTCATGCCACCGGTTAGTTAAAAATAGGTTCAAATTGTAATATGGCTTTTAAAGAGCTAAAGGGGAGAAAGCTAATACCCGAATATATCCTAGGGAAGTGTGATTCTACAAAAATACCACTTTATGCTAGGCGTCAAAAAACTAGTCCGGGGTAGATTTCAGTTTGGAAATTATTATCTTGCCTTCCTTGAAAAATGCGCAATCGAAACTCATAGAATTACGTTTCAATGAACCTTATATCAATAAGTAGTTCACGTCAAATTCAAATTCGGTGAGTTTTAACTAACCTAACATCACTGAGTTTCAAACTGAACTGGTTTCCACAAATATCGAGGTGAGTCAGATGCGGAAGGGTCCCAGGTGCACATAAGCGACTGACGATGGGGAGACGCGGTTTGTCCCTATCCGAAGCTGAGGAGACATCAAGCACTCGCAACTCCCTCAGTTCAAACACTGTCAACAGGACGCGCTCGAGTACTTGCCTACTGTCCAGGTTGAGTTTGTGCATGATGAGACCCATGAGAGTGCCTCTCAGATCCAACAGAGAGGTTATATTATTAATATTTGTCCGCGAAATGTTAAGGTATTGAAGTCGGGGAAGTAGTTTGACCGCGTTTTGTAGACACTCTGTGGTGAATTTAGTGCGGCTGACATTGAGGGCTTGGAGGTTTTTAAGACGCCCCAGAGAGATGATCACAGGCAGCTTATTCTCCTCAATGGTAGTATTCGAAACATTAAGTGACACCAGGTTATCTGCCGAAGCCTCACTCAAGCAACTGATGAGGCTATTAAGATTTGTTTGCTTCAGACTGGTCGCAGTCAAATTGTAAAGCTTAAAGTCACGCAGAACACGCAATGTGGATGGATTGACAGAGACGTCACGTAGTACAGGCGAGACCAAGTCAACGTACTTTATAGAGAAAAGACTAAGGTATTCGTCCCGCAAAATTTGCCTCTTGCACAATTTCAGGAGAATTTTCTCAGCCGGTCGTGCCACGATTCGGCAGTTGGGATGAGGAAAACGCCAAACATACTTAGGCTCACTGCAGTCTGAACACCTTGTGATTACGTAGTGCAGATTTTTAGTTATCCATCGAACGCATGTATCTTCCAATGAAGGAACCGCGTCTAATGTAGAAAAATCACCACCACAAAGCGTCAGTAGATAATACATACTGTGTTCGCAAACAAATAGGCATTAGAACTTTTAGCTGAAAAAAATACTAAATTCTGCATTGAAGCGTACCTCTCAGCAAAATAAGACCTATGCAAATGGACTGTGGCATACAAATTGCGACTTAACAAAACAATCAAAATATTGCATGCTAATATGTTCGACGATATTCACCAGCTTTTAAAAAAAATGGGTATCCTTTTGGATGTTCCGAATATTGTGAATTAGCACAGTGCAAAAAATAACACGTCTACTATGGGGAACCTACAGCGATCACACATTGGTCCGTCGGGCTAGTATCCTCAAATATGAAAATGCAAGGGCCGGGCTAAACTAGCATTTTGAATTAACCAGGCCAACGATTGTTATTTTCATGGCATATTAAAAAATGATGAATTATTTGCAGGTTCATCTTATTCAAATCGTACTACTTGTATAAAGGCTTGAATGCAGGGGCAAATTAGTAGCAATGATGGTAAAAGGTCACCGAGAACCCATTTGATTCTGAAACGTAAGTAAAATAAAAAGATAATTTCTCATATTACAAATATGTACAACATACGCTTTATTGCACGTGGGTCTCCCAAAGATACACTGATGTCTGCACTGCTTATGCTGTTTCAAAGTCCCTTTCAGAGAGGAGGTAGGTATACGAATCGGACCTCGTGACAGAGGAGTCAACGACCTGCAATTTAAAGAAGGGATTCGCGTCTACGGCCCCAAATTTGTACTTGCTCGCTCTATTTACTTATCCCAATAAACATATCAAAACCGAGTAAACCTGGATGTTCTAGGCGTATGAGGGCCGGGGAAGAGGTGATCTACGATTCCTGTCCTACGTATCAAATTAAAAGTATGCCGCATGATACTGTAATACGATGGTGGTTTATCCCTCGGTATTGGTGAGGCGCTACTTTTGCACTTTGAATTAGCCTTCTTTTACCTCGCTGGCTTTGGCTGACCTTCGGGCCATGCCAAAAGCCCAAATACCTTCTCTGTGCTGAATACATATTTTGCCCTAGTATTGTGTCTTCTTTCGTCTCCAGGGCAGCCTCGAGGCGCTACAATACAACTTCATCCATTGCAATTTGTATTGGGTTATCAAATTAAATATATACGCATCGACGCCCATTCTTTGGAGCATACAGCTAAGCTCCTTGGTAATGCAAACCTTAAACCAGCTTTCAAAAGACGCCCCAACTCCTATGGATTTTTACTTAGCCTGTCTGAGAAGAAATGAAAAACGCAAATTATGTCAAAATGAACCGTTTTTGCTCGAAATAGGCATCTGTGGTCCTTAAACATAGTAATGTTTTGTAGACAGCAAGTCAAGCCACTTACTACCATTGTCCTGATGTTTGAAGTTGGACACGAAGGAGGTAATGTAACAGGTTGGTAAATGTGATAAGGTGATATTTTAAAGCTTATTTCTGGTCCAAAAAGACTCAGTTTACAGGCGAATATGCAAAATATTAACTTTCCTCTAGACTTTTCCTTCTGTCCGCAAGGCTTAATTCTGCGCCGTCGTAATTCAGATGCGAGGACTGGTCTTTGGGCTGTGTCAGCAACATCTAGCTCTCATACGCGCCAAAACTGCACATTCTGTCCTATTATTTTGACTCTTGTCGATTTCCGAAAAGTGTGGGGTGCAACAAAAAAGCAGCAGGATTTTACACAACATGAATTGGGAGGTAGTTTAATGCTTCGATATCATTATTTATCTTCGTGTGATGATATTTCACCGAAAATTTGTATGTTGTTGGTTGACTCATGGAACAAACAAACTTCCTCTCACATGCAAAGAGAACTAAAATTAATAAATCAAAACCGGATCTATCTAACTAATCCAAATGAGTTTTTTGTTATGTTACATTATAGACCACACCTCATGTTTTGTGGATAAATGTGTTTTTGCTAGAATTTGAATGTAATTATGAAGGCATGGCGTGAACATTAGGGGCATGCCTAAAGTGGTAACATCCGGGATGATGTTTCGCAAAAATGTCTAATTGTAAGACCTTAAATATTCCTTCTATAGGACAAATCATAATGCACGATAAATGCAGGCACACACATGTGCATATTTCATAATAGGTGCGATTGTTTAGGAAAACATTGCTTTTCGTAAAGCATGATTTCCTTCTGATTTTGGATAAAGCGTCCGTTCCGCAGTATAGGATTGCATCAATATAAGCACGGCATCTTTAGATTTTGGATCTAGTGTGCATTGTTCTTTGCCCTCCATTTTAATTGGTGCGCGCAGGTCGAGTTTTACTGATAGCCGCTCATTCAATTTTTGACTTCATTTGGGGTGTTGATGGTCGTTTCTGTTTGTATCTTGTGTTATTCGTGGTAGCCGGTGGATTTTTATATGCCATCTGTTTACGAAAGTTTTCAGGCCTGCTTTCATTATGAAATCGTTTTCCTGTTGCTTTTCTCTCCTAACAAACTTTCCTTAAGTGGCTAACTCCGAAGACGCATGATTTTATCTGCATTTCGGCCTCGTTTCCCTTTAAAACATTTGTAGTGGTGTTTTTTTGCTTGACACATTTAAATAAAAGCCTCGCTTTAAGCTCAGCAAACTATTCCTAACTTACTAAATTGTTTCTGTAACATTTTAGCAATAGATTGAGTGCTAACGAAAATTCTAGCGGTGTCTAAGTTCTGCGATCTGCTTTATCGTGGTCCTGTTTTTTCTGCCGTTTTACTTAAGGAAATGGACGATTCTTTCGTCGAATTAATGTCACATAGCGATTCAGAGGAGTTTTCTGATGACATAGATACTGAGTTTTATCGGGCCGTCGACGGTGAAGATGCCTTGGAGTATCAAAATCCGGAGTTTATTGTAAGCCTCAAAATGTTTTTTGCGTGAATTCCTGTCTGTTGACTGCAGATTATGGTTTGATTTCGTTCGTTTAAGCCTCTTACTCCTGATATGTTGATCCAATACATGTTGGAATTGGTGAATGCTGTTCATCAAGTTACTACGCTTCCCAAAACCATCATCAGGTTACTTCTCGACCACTTCAAATGGGACAAAGACGCTCTCATTGAGCAATACTTTGAGCACAGCAATCCCCGCCATTTCGTCAAATCGACAATCCTGCCATCGCTGGTTGACAACAATGATGACATTCCATCATTGCTCCTCCTACCTTACACCGATGTCCATGGAGGCGGTGAGTCATAACTTGTTCGATTAAGGTTACTAGCCTTTATCGCCTCCGGCGGCCAGTACCACCGTACTTAGTATATTTAGTCCTCAACCATGGTCTGGGATTGTTGTGAAGGCGCGTATTTAGTTATTTAAAAATGAGGTTCTTGTGGCTCTATTCGCCGCCAATCAGCTGCTATTCTATGATGTAATGTTGTGTGGTCTTTTCGACTCAGAATAATATTATTAACTCCAGAAGTTTGTTACGGTATTTTCATTATATTTGGCCGTGAATCAAGCTATAGATAGGTCATAAGGGGTTATTTTACCTGAAAAGCAACACCTAAATGTACTTGTCGCGATTTCTGCCTGCTCGGTGTATTCAGGGTGTACCAACAGGGATTCATCGCCATTCCTTCTGTTTTTCTCCTTGACTGGTTTTTCGTCAGCCCAAGTACAAGGAATTCTAGTATTGCCTGTAATTTAGCAACTGCGTGCCATGTACCATTTGTAATGACTACTCTATTCATTTGTTTGCTGGTGGAGGACTCACTTTGCCTCATGCGAATACATTTATTGCTTTTAGGTGGCGAGAAGGTCAATTGTTCCCCTGAGATGGTCTGTGATATTTGCTGTGCTCAAACCTCCTCCGGTAATTGGAAATTTTCCTCTTACATCCCACTTGAATTCCAACCGGTTTTAGCATGCGTTGCTCTCTTCGTGACTAAGGTGATAGTTTGTCCTTTTGAGGACAGTTTCGACTTACTTTCATCGCTTACCTAACATTCTCCTGTTCCTGTGTTCATATTTAATTTGGGCTTTCGCAGTCTATTTTCCTCAAAACCGTTACATATGATATCTCCAAAAATGTCTATTTTTTCTAGGTTATCAGAGAGAAGAATTTAAAATTGCCTAGGCTGTTAAAATCATGAAGATCGTTTGTACGCTTGTTTCCATTCCCACCTTTGACGTCTCCCCTTGGACAAGCGAATGGCTAACAAGTGGCCATTACGTATTATTCCGTTCACTTATCCATTCAGACTTTATGCTTTCCTTAACTTTTTGATGAAACTTTTAAAAGATTACTTTAGGACAACTTGCAGATTCGATGGCGCGTAAAAGTAATTCAGACTGATGTGAAGACGTAATCCATTCTGAATACGAGGAATGGGTCGAATTTCTTAAAATCGGAATGCTTTTATACATATACTCGTTAGCACTTTTGCTCCCACAAAATCAATTTTTGGTCCTGTAAGTATTGTTCATCGTTTTAAAGCTATATATCAACTTAGGGTTTAATTTTTGAAAGAATAAGTTTTGGTGAAAGAGCTGTGAATTTCTTTACAAAAGTAGTGATGTTTTCTAGTTAAACAGAATTTATCTTTAGTTCTTCAGCCTTCTACCCAAAGCTGTTTGTGAAGCCTATTGATAATTAAATTGTAATGTGTAGAATTAAAGTAAATTGCTATCTACTGTATATAAATTGCCGAGTAGCTGACGGCGCTTTTAAAACAATCTAGCGGAATGATATTTGTTAGCGATAGCCTCATGCGCTTATTTTTCTATGATAGTGGCAATCTTGTTAAGTAAATTTAAAAGGTATACTTTCCGAACAATCGACTTTAACGAAGTTTTGGGGTGTAATTCCTGGTTTTTAATGCTCGTTCTTGTTGCAAAAACTATGGTGCATCTGGTGATGAAACCCAGAAGCTGTGAAGTTATTCGAGACGTGTTCGTGGCGCAGATGAAATGCTTGGACTGGGGTGCGGACACTTCTACTGTCGGACTTGTTGGTTGGGATACCTGCAGAGCAAGATCTTAGACGAAAGCCAAGCCAATCGCCTGACTTGTCCAGCCTTTAAATGCGACGGTCTCATCGACGACGACAGTGTCAGCGCCCTTCTCCTATCTTTGCCCAAAACATCAGCGGGTGAGACTGCGGTGCCCGAGTCGCCCAAACCTTCCTTGCCTCTGGCGTATCGACGGTTCCAACGACTGGTAGTGAATAGCTTCGTGCAGCATAACCGCTACCTCACCTGGTGTCCGGGTGTGGATTGCGGCCATGCGGTCCGCGCCATCGGAACAGGTGTCGGCTGTGGACGTGGGAATGGGCGAGTGATGCGGGAAGTGGTGTGCTCAAACTGCGAGGAAACATTCTGCTTTGCTTGTGGCAATCCTTGGCACGAGCCCACACTATGCAAGTACCTCAAGCTTTGGCTTAGTAAGGTTCGTGCAGTCGACAAGCCTGAAGTCACTTTTGATTGTTTATTTAGCCATATCTCAAATTGGGACCAATTCGCTTTTATTATAATGTGTACTGCAGCCAGTGGTAAAACGCTTATGCGGGTAGGCGGGAATAAAAATTATGGACTTGTCTCCCTTTGATTCTTCAGTTTCTGCCGTTATTTTATGTCCAGAATCATTTCCAACCACGCATTCATCCATTGCCATAGCTTTGAATTTACATTTTGACACATAGTATTTCTTTATTTTCCTCTTTTCCCTCTTTGTAGATGAAAAACGACTCGGGCACAGCTCACTGGGTGGCGGCCAACACCAAGGAGTGCCCGAACTGCAAGGCGACCATCGAGAAGAATGGGGGTTGTAACCACATGACGTGCCGCAGCGCTGATTGCAAGTACGAGTTCTGCTGGGTGTGTCTGGGTAGTTGGGACCTGCACGGTTCTCAGTGGTACGTCTGCAACAGTTACAAGGAGGCGGCAGCGCAGCGGGCTCGTGAGGCGCAAGATGCGAGTCGGGCCTCGTTGTCACGCTACCTCTTCTACCACGATCGCTACGCCAACCACGAACAATCGCGACGCATGGAGGCAACGCTAAAGGACAGCGTGGCAAGTCGAATGATGGAGCTGGAGCGTCAAGGCATGTCGTGGATTGATGTAAAGTTTGTACGTCATGTAGTGGAGGTGCTCTGTGCTTGCCGCCGCACGTTAATGTACACCTACGTCTTCGCCTATTTCTTGGAGCCTAGCAACCATGCACTTATCTTCGAGGCCAACCAAAGCGATCTAGAACAGGCAACAGAACAGCTCTCTCGGTTTCTTGAATGGGATCTCAATAGTACCATGTTGGTGGGCGGCTTGAAGCAGAAACTGCAGGATAAATCGAGGTACTGCGAACAACGCCGACGGGTCTTACTACAACACGTGGCTGAGGGATATGAGAGAAACATATGGCGGCATCGTGATTACCCTTAGGTGCTTCCTAAGATCCCTTTCCTTGTCACAAGCTTCTTTATATTCACGTCTTCATTTAATCGTCTTGTACAAATGCGCATGTGTATATTTCTACTCCCTCTACGTTCTGAACGTTCGGTAACTGTTGAACTATGTGCGCTTCACCATGATGTTATCTCTTATTCCGGAATCTGACTTCTTCCGGTTTGTGAGGTTTGCTTTAGCTTAAATTAGGCTTGGTTCAGTTAACTTGAAGCACTTTCACAAATGGTTACTTGCTTGATTTAACTAGTGACTTGATTGCTACAAGCATCATCCAAAACCAATCGTTTCAGGAGGAACCAAAACGCAGCATCTAGTCGACTTGCTTCATTGCGGGATCAAGCTTATAGTGTTGTCCCGGAGGCCGGCTCCCGTAAATCTCATCTCGATTCCTTACAGGTATTATTGACCGACACTTGGAAGGAGAACATGTAGTCTTGAGTGTGCGTTGAGCTTAAATTAGGGCAGTTAGGCCGTAATTATGGCCGAGAATCACCGGTGGCGGCGTGAGTTGAAACCTCCTCTTTTTTCTGTTGGTTGGGACTGCATGGTTTTGGAGGGGAAATTTGCTTTACTAGTGGGGTCTGTAAAAGTTAATATTGCAAAGGAATGGACGTTAAGATATCGGTGGAATTATGGTGACGTGAGTGGGACCTGCATATCTGCACGACGCTCTGTCTTTAGCATTTGAAAAGGCGTGGCTAACTGCTCAATTGTGTTCATTCATATCGCATATCTTGCCAGGTTGCTTTTCCCATATTTTCCATCTGTATGGTGTTTTAGGCGCATCCCCAGGTTATCAACATGATCTAGTATTCACTGCGACACCACAGTTTACGCAAGCTATGGTAATAATACGCAACTTGCTGGGCTTTACAGCTGCAAAGGCTTCGTTTCATGTGACGTCAATGAATTTTGACCCCAAATGAATGTCACGCGTTGCGACAAAATACTAACGTCAATTTTCCACCAAAAACAGATTGGCGCTAAGCTACAGTCATCTGGAGATTGTTATACTGGTAAATGTCAACATAATTGGCCGTCGCTACTTGCGTTCGCATTTTACGCATACTTCGGACGAAGAGGCGAAAAGTGATCGAGTACCAAATAATTTTTCTGCCACTTTGCTGGTTGCTGCATATTATTTCACCTGCATTTAAACACCCAAAGTCTCCAAAACTCGATAAATGGGTAAATTTACCTTTCAAATTTCCTAAGGGATTCCTTTTTACTTTTTAATTCAGGAACTTATCCGGCCACAAAATCGGGATTATGCAGATACAGACCACTTTTCCGCTTATTAGGCGTAAAAGTGCTTCCGTAGAGTTCTCGATGAAGTCAAGATAAGCCAAAGTAGAATGGAGGGAAATGCATTAATAAAGCACAGAAGAGTTGAATGTCTGTCAGCATACTCCGAAGGACATGCTAGAGAGCGAAAGTATAAGCCATAGGGACTGAAGTACCTGCGTAAGCACAGTTAAACAGTATTAAACCATTGTAGTCTCAAATATAGATTACCAAAACTTAGTAGTACTTTAGTAGTACTTTTACTCGCGACTGGACTGCTTGCATACTACTCCAGAGTCTTGTATGCCGGCTGCCAATCTTAAGGCCGTTGGCCTAAACTGCGGCCACTTGACAAAAACAAGATTCATAATAGCTCCACTGGGCTACGATTTCGCATCTATTCCCCCTTGACATTTTGCTCTCAGTTCGACGTTACCCAGCCAACTATGTGTTCCATTTGGTTAGTAGAGGAATGGAGGAAATACCACCTGCTTAAGTAATTAACAATGATGATGGCTCCAGAATAGACTTTCCCAAGTGGTTCAAACGCGGTGTTGCGCCAATGTTAATAGACTGCGCCCAGATAGAGATTGGGGCAGTTGTCAAAGGTAGACGTAACTTCTAGTTCCTCTGCTGGGAGTCCTCACAGATTCATCCATCCACAGCAGATATCCTTCCTCCGTAACGTTAAGGCCAATTATTCAGTCACATAAATCAGGATATTTGGTTTTTTGTGATCTAAAGACCATATATAGCAAGGCAAAAGCACAGCCTACCAATGTTGAAGTCTTCGCCTAACTAATCACAGTCGAGCGAAACACTAAACTACAATGTTGTCTCGATTCATTACATTCCTAGTGAGGCCCAAATAGCCTACTTTGATGCACACCTAAATAATCACAATCTTACAAAGCCAATTAAAGTAACCCCAGGAAATACACCGGATACAAGTTAAAGAAGGCGTAATGCAACTGACCCATTGCCTTATATTTTAGTAACTTACTACAAGTCTTTCGTGGGGCCTCATACACTTGATAGGGAAGACAAAACGTGGAAGTACATAGACCCACTTACAGAGTTTAGAAGAACTTGACTAGAAACAACCCAATGTTGGGGAATCATCCCCCAAGAGACTTAACAGACCAAACTTTCTGCTTCTATATCAAATCTAACAGAATCCACCAAAAAAACTATATACGGAAGCTACCCATTTCCTCTGCCATCGGTGGATTAGAAATCCTTTCAAATACAGAGATGGTGGCTCCTCGACCATCCCTTGCGGCCTTCTGCCCCTCCTCAGTCACCCCACTGGCCAGGAGACCCACAGTGGCATCTTCCACGCTCGCGGACTCCAGTGACTCCAATGTTTCAACACTGACAGGGAGGCAGAGATGGTGGCACTGACGGAAAAGCGGGTGTACACTCAACTTATCCTCCATCCACTGTGCCAATTCGGGGACGTCCGTCATGGTGTAAATACGACCGCCAGGGCGCAGCACGTATGCATAAACGGTGAGGAGGGCCAGGCTGATGATGCGCCACTTGTGTTTGTGACGCTTGAAGTGTGGATCGGGGTAAAGGAAGAACATCTTCTCCAGTTGACCCTATGAAAGATACGCGTATGAATGATCAGCACGAACCAATCACGGGCGAAAAAAATCAAACACACTTAAATGTATTAAGAACTACCACAAATAATACTTGTTTGTTGCCTTCACAGTTGAACCTCATGCATCTTTGCTACAAATTACGAAATCCCGATTTCAGTTGATCCGTAATTTGCGCATAAACTACCCAAAAGAGGGAATAGTAAAGAAGACCGTGTAAATATTATACACATCAATCTGTTTTCATGCCCGTACGTCATAGTGTATTTTCAACTAAAGATAATAAGCTAAGCGTTGAACAGGCTGTTAATTACCCTCTCATTGTGAGATAGACTTACTGCAATAACTGCCGAAATGCTACGGGTAACTTGTTTTAAACAATTAGAAAGCATGAATTAACTTATGCCATTTAAGTGACACGTTCATGCAAACTCACCTTTTTGAAGAAGTTAGGCAGATACTTCATGGTATTTGTTCGAATGCACGCAATATTCAGAAAACTCCCAGGGTGGCTCTGACGAATTGCATTGATTTTGGACTTAATCGAAGGGAAATTTTGCGATCTTAATTTCAAAAAATTGGACGTTTTCTTCAACGAATTTATTCTAAATCCTTGCATCCAATTGACACACGCACATTGTTATAGCACTTTTATAGAATCCAGTAGGATAGGAGAGGACTATATGTATACTGTGTATTTATATTGTCAAGTCACTTCCAACATCTAAGCATGACGGTAATCTACAAGCCCTGTATGGCGTAGCAACAAGCTGATGTCTGCTATAAGTATGAACGCCAAGCTTTATCCAACCATCCACGCAACCAAACCATTCAACTCTTCGTGCGATAAAAGTAAACCAACTTTCAAACCCGTAGATCTGATAATGTCTTCAGAGGCAACTCGGGTGTCACGGTACCTGTACGTAGTCAAAGACCTTGAGACGAATTTCCATCCCAACAATACGTGCATTGGGAAAGAGCGTGGAGAGACTGAAGAGCAAGCCACCGTAGCCGCATCCAACGTCAACCATACTGACCGAAGGAACAGCTTTGCCGTCGAAAAGTTCACCCCAATGGCAGAGATCGGGACGCACAGGATAGCTAAGGCAGTGATCGGACCAGGGATTGCAGTGTGCTCTCTGGCGATATAGACGCTTCTGAGGCAGCTTAACAAATTCACCACCGCCGCCGCTTTCATTTGCCACCAGCTGTGTTGAATCCTCGGTGGACATATTGATACTGAAATTGAGGCGAAATTAAGTGCAAGTAACGGTAAAAAGGGCAATCACATCAATAGACGAGTCTCTCACCTAAGAAAACAGTATATGACTGTATATAAGACTAGCAAAGCAACAACTCGAATCATCTAAACGTATATTTTACAGCTGATGGACGTCAACAATAGCAAGATACAATGGAAGTTGCGAAGAGTAATCTAAATCTGCTGGAGAATTTTAACGCTGGTCGAAACAGCAGCGTTTTTGTAGATCTTTTGAAGAACACAGGGAAAAGGAAGTCCACAATGAAATGCAAGATACTATTAATAGATTTGAAGTTCAGCACCCGGTTCCTAAGCTGAATAAAATCTTTTAAGGAAAACGACAGTCTACCAGTAAAACCTCGAGTAACCACAGAAATTCAGCCCCGATGTACAAGTGGCTCGCAGATAAGCGCAATAAAAAGTTTAAGAACTCAAAAGAGAATCAGTGCACATCTGCATTTAAATCACGTCCTTTCTAGTCCAAGAAAGGCACGAACAATACCTGTATGTAAAGATGAAAAATACAAATTAGGAATTCCAACAGCTACCGCCACCAGTAACAGTGTTATCAGGGGTAAAATCAGCGCTTAAAGAGAGCGAAAAGACAAAAGATGGCGAGAAGGACGGTGAAGAACTTGAGTATGAATGCACGGCGCTCGGAGACATGTTGCAGAAACTCCACCAGACTTCCGTGGGCCAAATCCACGTTGGCGGCGGCGTCTTCGACATGGCCATCAATGCGCATCACCACATCAGCCTGCTCACGCACCAGAAAGGCAAACTGCTCATAGATCTGTCCCAATTGCACGATGGTAGCCTCCGTGTGCCGAATTGCCGCTGCTGACGTTGCAGACGTCGCCTCGCGCTGACGCACAACCATCTGCTGCTGTTGCAAAAGATACTGAGCATCAGCGGTAAGAGGATTTGAGTCGTCCTAGGAAATTTGAAAAGGTCCTCGTCTCTTTCGCATTTAGGGCTAGATTAAAATCAGTCAAATCACCCAGACCGGAAGAAGCAAAACCGAAAACTCAAAATAATTTGAGATGCTATAATTATTGAAGTTATTTAATGAGATAATATACACGACTTACCTACGAACGCTATCCAGTTGAAGTATTATTACTTATTCTGAGCGCATACGGAAATTTTTTCCAGCTTGAGCAATAAAGATGAGCCGCATAAAAGCATGGCACTATTACGCATGACAGTAATAAATCCTCCTCGAAGCCACTTAGTAAAATATTAAACACATTAGGAAAAGAAAGAAAAATTCACGGAACAATGATATCTTCGGTGTTTCACTGTTGTGCCTTGTGAGACCTGGTCAGCTGGCAACAGTGGAGGGATAATTATTACAGTCTGAAAATGTAAGACAGACTAACCACTGCGCAACACAGCGCTCGATAGCATGTCGCTCACATAAGCGATGCTATTAGAACGACCTGGTCCCGCTATCAGATGCTTGGTTGCTTAGCAGAAGCTGCACAAAATAACTTACGCGGAAAACTCAAAACAGCTTCGATGCGTTAATAGAGCAAACATGGATTAACCACTCCAAAACCTAACATTTAATGATCTATATTGAAAGACAAGCAAAAAAATAAGTTGTTACTCTAAGCTTTTCCCCAAAAGATGCCGCCTGTATTGAAGGTCGTGTGGTGGACGACAGACGAAAAACCGAGGAAGACGACGAAAGAAACGTCTTCGGAGGAGGAGGCATCGCCGTCGGAGTTTCACACTGATCGGAGACGATGGCCCTATTAGCTTCCATAAAGTCCCTTAGCCGCCGTGATAGCTCAGCCAGACGCGCCTCCTGCGATGCCACCAGCGCTTTTACGTGCTTACAGACCTGGGGATGGCCCGCCAACTCGCGCTGTACCTGGGTCGATACGCTGGCCACGCGTTGCAAAAAAGTGCTGATGGCTACCACCTCGGGTTGAAGCTTTTGCACCAGTGTAGAAATTCTGGCTACCAAGAGGGTATCCGGTATGGAAGAAGTTGAGAGGCGTTCCGTCAGATTGACCAACTGGTCCATTTTTGCTTGGCCCAGAGTTAGACTGGTCGATGCCTGGTGAACAAGTGGAAGGAGTTGGGTTTTAAGCAGGGTTGGAGCGAAAAAGGCAGCCACAGCACCTGGCCGGCTTTTGCGGGGCCTGAGGGCGACACGGCCCGACATCACCTTTTGGTGAAGTAGCTTGGCGCAGAGCAATAATTCTGTCGAGCGATTGCAGTAATCAGACGCCATAATTCCGACAAGCCCTGGAACGGGAAGAAATGTAAGATGTGTTAATTACTCTCAACATAAAACCAAGCAGTGACGGTGGGATCCAAAGCACGGTGGACAAAGCCAACACGATAGCAAACCCAATAGCAGCACAAATAGGCTACAAGCATGATGATTTAACGATATAAAAAGTGATGAAGAAGTAGGAGAGCGAAAGATGCGTGTGGCTACGACAGCAATCCCGTTTCGCTACCCTACGCCGAAGCAGCAGAGTAAGTCCGCACTTGGAAAATCAAAGGAATGCTGGGGACTTGGTTCACTCTAACAAATTTTGTGGAAATACGAGTCCTTGCTATCAAAAAATCCTAACAAGTCTAAGACCCAACCACTAAATTTTACGGATTTACATAATTTTCGATTTTGTTGCTTTGGCTTAGAAGCAAAACTCGCATGAACGGATAAGTGGTTGCTGCGATTTGTCATTTCGATTAATGACGCTGACCTTTGAGTGAGAACAAGTTGCACATCTGGCCTGCGAAGTAGACGTTGTGTCATTTCAATCGCCTTCCAGCCCTTCTGCACATGAACGGTGGTACATTAGATTGTTGAAATTTCGGTGAAGACTGGTGCGCTACGTAATAGCCCACTCAGGCAACCTTTCTGACCCAAGTTTCTACTGAACAATTAACACAACAAAACTTTTAATCAGTTGAAAATGCAACCAAGGTTGTGGAGTCATATAGGAGCTACAGGCGAGATTCAACCAGATATCGGTTATGTTTAAATTGAAAACCGGCATTCTTTGTGTACTTTAAATCCATCCCAACAAAGATTGCTAGTATATTTGTTTGTAGTCATAAAGTAGTTTGAATTAAGTGACTTTACACTGCCAGCCTTACAAGCGCAATTACCGCATGCATAGATATCTAGGTACGTGATCAAATTACCCTGTCAACAAGATTTTACTGAAACGACTCTTGCTTTTGAAGCTACACAAGGAAAGTAGTAACCTATTTGTTAATACAATTAAAAACGATAAGCAGGTACCAGAAGACACGGAAAATATACTGAATCGTTGTTAACGAGAACCCAAAAGGCATTTTAGGTTTAAACTTTGACCGTCAATATGTCATTAAGACATCATTAGAGCAAAATTGTCGAGATTCAAAGCACGTGAAAGCCTGCGAGTTTAATAAATCCTGCAAGACACTCGATCTTGGCAGTGGGCTTAAGCTTCTCATCCATGCTGCAACTACACTTGTGACATAATTTTCGCATTTCGCCCAGATCCATCAGTTTGTTGAACACAACGTAGGATAAGGATCGTTTATCCCCTTTTCTCTGGCCTTCATACCTTTAGAGCACTGTGGCCGATTGGATTTTGACATGTTTATTGCTTAAAGTAAACGGGGGTGGATACAAGCTTAGGAAAATTTGGACACTGAACTTTCCTCCGGATTTGGGGATGTTGGCCGCATCTCAGTTACAAGGTTCTATTCGAATGCCCGCCTCCTCTCTGTAAGATTAAACATTGCCAACGTATTTAGATATAATAGTGGGAGTAAATGCGTTACCCGACATTTTAAACGAACACAGCTGTTAGGCAGCGTAAATATTCCAATCGAATAATAAATGCCGAAACTGAGCACAGAAAGCATGTGAATTGATAACACCTGACTCTTAAATAAACAGGTACATCTGGGAGTGAGTGCATGCGACAATAATACACACGCTGACAATCGATTACGACCACTCGCTTATTCTTTACTTGAGGGGTTCCTACTTTTGTAAGTCTGGCTGAGAGTAAGTGACTTATTTGTATGCTAGCATAGCGCACCGAGACTTCCCTGAAGACGAAACAAGACATAATACTCGGGAAGAATACATATTTTCGGCACAGAGAAGGCATTTGGACACTAGTACGGCCCGAAGGCAGCCCATCCAGCGCGGTACAAAGGCCAAGTCAAAAGGGACTCTTCAAAAAAACCAAGAGATAAAGAATGATCGTATTACAAAGCCCCTCTCCTTGCTTGAGCGTGTTCCCCGGGGCTCCCGCAGGTCAACCTCCCGCATCAGCCATCACAACGTAGTCAGTGCTGTCGAGACACACCCGCGATCCGGCCGTGCCAGTCATCAAATTCCTATGCAACTGAGGAGATATTTGATCACAACGTCACTGATCCATCTTGGCAATTTAACTGAATCTGGAGTTCTGTCCGGTTTGGGAAATGGGTTCAGAAGCGGGAAATTGTGCTGGTCATCACGCGCTTTCATGTATAGACGTGGGAACACTGGCCTAAAAGCTGATATGTGTAAGTAAGGGGTTTAACATAGGTCCATAGAGGAAGGGTTTCGCGGCTGTTCATCCCTGCCACGTCGCTCCCACTTCGGAGCTGCCCAGCCATATCAATTCAGGCACCAAAAGCTGGTAGGGAAATAGCGGGGATATCGCAAATTCACTTCATCAACAGCTATATGCAGGTACGGTAGAGGAAGTCTATAAAGAAACTTTCAGATGGTTCACGCCTAGTGTCGCTTCAGTCGTTAATAGCTTTCCTGCAGAACACAGAACTGAGGTAGATGCCGGAGGTGGACGCCAATTTCAACCCTTCCGTTTGGGACCATCACCATTCTCCCATCCGTAGCATATGAACTTCTTCCCTTCCGCTGAAGTTTATCACGCAGCAGTGGAAATCAGGAAATGTCCTTTAGGATCGGGTTCGCTTTCCGTTGTTCCCAATGTAGCGTCCCGAGACTTCCTTAAATACGAAAGAAGATAACACTCGGGCAGAATATATACATTCAACATAGAGGAGGTGCTAGGGCTACTGGTGTATTCCGCAGACCAGACCATCCAGCGCAGTGCGGACGCCAGACCAAAAGTGGCTCCTCGCCGCAAGAGAGATAAACAACCATAGTATTACAATCATGTAAAATTGCTACTTCTGACTTCAAAATAAAAAAAAGGTTAAAATAAAAAGTGCCTGCACACATCCACATCAGTTGCGACAATGTAGGTTCTCTAGCGAATTCAAAACCTTCTCGCATTTTTTAAAAGAAGTAGTGCTGTGTTTTTTAGCCAATGGCAACTAAGAGTTGCATTTTAATGCCAATTCCTAAGAAATCTAAACTATCTAGATGAAAATAGGTTAAATGCTCACAAAGTGGTGATTAGTAGAATTCAGAAATACTCATAAACCACTTTAACCTAAATCTTGGCTAAATTACACTTTTGTAGGCTCAAATCTTCTAGTTACCGTATCACTGACTTCAGTTATTTTCGTCTGCATCACATTTACTGTGTTTTGCTGCGAATATGAAACACATATGAAATTTAAGCAGTAATGCCTGTCCGCGAGTTTTGTGTGGTAATTTTTTTCCGGCGAAACCTTGCTCTTATGCTGCAAAAATGGGACTGCTGTATATCTACTGCCCTTTTTTAAACAGAATTTAACCCATTAGTATAACAACATTATGTCTCTTAATACAGTAAGTAATGAAAACGAAAAAAAAGTAGATCTCATTAGGCAATTTTAAAATAGTATATTATGTCTAGGTTACTCATAGCATGGCGGCATTCGAACTTAATTTTAATTGGCTAGTATTTTTAGAACGTATGTAAATTCGAATGGAACCTGGTTTTCTGTGCTTGTAGTCAGCATGCCTCGTTCATATTGCTCTCCGATATTTAACGCAGTTGCTTTTATATCGTTTGTCTTGCAATGTGCCGGTGCCAACAGCACAACTACTGCTGTGCAGCTTCGAAAAAGCGTACAGTTCTCATATGATGGTGCCAATTCGTTCCTGGACTTTATTCGGGGCAATGCCTCGCGTAACGCGACGAAGGAGCTTTTTGAGGTGTACTTGGGTAGTTTTTTATTCTCTGTGGTAATTTTTAGATCTGAAAAATTATGAGTTCCCGACTATCCTGCTTACTCCTGTGAGTTGGACTCTGATTTCTTGCGTTTCTTGTATTTCTCTCGACTTGTTAACATGTTTTTTCTGGTAGATATTTAAGTACTTTCCCGGATACATGGGCTGCGTGATGTTTGGATTACTATTTGTATTTATTTTGCCGTTGATTGGAATATTCTTCTGCTGCCTTCGGTGCTGCGGCCGCTGTGGTGGTCGGCTGTCTCCAATGGATCGTAAAGCTGATCCCTACCGACGTGTGTGTTACACCATCACCTTGGCTCTTCTAGTAACTGTTCAACTGTAAGTATTCTCTTTTCCTTAAATAAAATCGGTTGGTGCCACTGGCTGCATTACATGTTTCTTTTTCATGCGAATTAATTTGCTTAACATTCTTGAATAAGTTTGATTATTGGTCTCATTAATTTGTAATCTGAATTACTAAACCTCTCCTATAATGTCTGAGTAACATAACCATCTAATTTTTAGGGCTTCAATTGTGCTTGCCTTCATTAACTATCAATTGCACTATGCGACTATTACCAACAGCGATATGTCTATTGGAATGGCACCACAACTGACGCAGAGTATTTATGAATTTCAAATTGGCATCACTGATGTCGTCAACGTAAGGCTATGCGTTTACCTTACACGAATTATTAAATAAACTATTGAGTAATCTAACTTTTCACACAGGCGGCCAAAAACTCATCATCGGTAAATTTGATCACCCAAAAGGAACGTTTTGATGCTGTTTTCGATGGTGAGTTCTGTCTCCCACCGTCCTTTGAGGTCAAGGTTCTGTCCGTGTTTTTTTCATATTTAAACCTTTTACGCACATGTATTTTGGGGTATCCCCCAATTCGGCCCCCACCCGCTTATTGCGTCCGAAATATTCGTTTTCAGCCGGTTTAAGGGACTTCCAGAGAGATTTCATCTATAATTCCAGCGCAGCAGCCGTGGTGCGAGAAAAGGAGGCACTTCAACAAGGTTGGTTTTTATTTATTGCGCCTCAGACACTTGTGCACTCATACGGTTTCTGGTCCTTTTTCTCACATACTTGCCAATTTTTGGTGTATTTTTAGTCGCACTCGCATGTGGGTACCATAGCTTTGCATTTATTTTCATTCACATGGCACCGTATTTGCCTAAACACGATACTCAAAATATCTCTTTCACTACGTATAATCAAATAAATTATTGGTCCTACTACTCCTTCAGCGGTCTACAAGTTTGCCGCCGGTTCCATAGATTCGATTGCTATGAATGACTTTTTGGAGTCCTTGGAGAAGATCTCAGTGGAGCTGCCCTTTATCCAGACTACGATTTCAGATATCCTCAACACCGAGTGCACGGTGGATCAACTGAGCGCCTGTCGAGGGCTTCGTTTTATCACTGACAATGATCTCAAGGTCACCTACACACTTGAACAGGTAATGATTCCTTTTCTCTGCGCACACAATCACATTCATTATTCAGTTATTCATTACCCCTCTATCGCATTACTGCACCTTTTGATTTCAGTTCCAGTCAAGCCAGGTGGCCAGCCTCCTAAGCACCTTAGAATCGGTTCAACAGAATGTCAGGGACCTGGATAATGTGAGTTGGCTAAATACGTATGCGAGAATATTGTTAATCAAATCACTCTTTTGTGTGACAGGTGATTGATTTTTTAATTATGTTTTTGTGAGTGATTTAAGGGGCCGAGATAAGGCTTACGGCTGATCGTCTACTGTGGTAATGTAGATGCTTGTGCGTTGTAGTATGTAAACAGTTTAGTTCGAAAGCACTTTTACGATTGAATGCGGTGTGCTGTTTACCGAACAACTGTCAATTTTTTTCTAAGTGAGCATTATTATGGAGCTATCACAGACAAAACGTATGACACTTTCTGTGTGGTTTAGTTGCACGAAATGGCAGACAAGCCTCCATCCCCGAAGTGGGTTGTGATTTGGATTACAAACCCTCTTGCTGGCTGAAGGGCGCGTCTGGCAAATAGTTGACTAGTGGTCACGGAAAAAAATGATATTTTCTGTGTAAATGATATTGTCATGTCCTTATTCTTTTTGAAAATTTTTTGTGGTGACTAATTTCTTTAGAATGTTTTGATATCTCATGAGTATTGAAAGTACAGTTCACTATTGATAATTTCAGTTCAACGCAACTTTATTGCGAATGAAAGTGGATGTTAGAAAGGCGATTCAACCGATCCTTGATGGTACGTTTCACCTTTTGTTTTAAGCTATCGAAATGTATGTCTTCAGTGGACTTAGCTGAAGCGTCAGTATTGCGCCTGCCGCAAGCCATGAAATACTGGCAGTCATTACGGTGCTACCGATTATTGGTTATTTAAATAAACTCGAATCCTATTGTTACTTTTTAGCCTCTTTGGATTTAGTAATATAATTTTGAAACTACTAATAAAAATACTGCTTGGTAGGGTTTTCTAACTCTCATGATTGGTAAGTTTTACTTGCTTACACTATTTCGCGGTTATGAAGCTCGAATTAAACACAGCGTCACCGAGACAAGTGGAAACGTCCGGTCTCCATGATCCTTATGTGTGTGCAGGTTATTTATGGGCATCTTGAATGTTAATTCCATACGATTAGAACAACGTTGCAATTTTATAATTAGATCAAAAAGATATTCGGACCTTCATTTGACATTCTTGGGAAATCTCACGCTTAGTCAATGTAACTGATACTTTCAGAGTTTTCCTGCCTTTCAAAAATCATGAAGACGATTGCCGACCTTCATGTAAATTAAGCATAAGATTGGCTGACTCGGCAGTTAATCGTATAATTGAGGTCATTTGGTAGTCATTGGTGGATTGTCCCTGTTTTATCTAACAAGCACTCACATTGGTCTTTAGATGCCTGGAATGATCTGTCAAACTCTCCAAAGACCAGGGAGAATCTCGTGAAAACTCTGGAGGTCGTTGCGGAGACAGCAAAGTCCTACTTGGCCCGGTTGAATGACCTTATTACTAAGTACATCTCCTCCAATTCCTCATACATTGCGTAAGCCAACTGCATTTAGCTCGATTTCATTCAGTCTCTTTATTGAAATCTCGCCGATAGTCGTTCTGATGTTTAATTATCTGGTTGACTTGCCACTTCCATACGGGTCGCCTCTTGTCTCACCACGCTACAACGTATGAACAAAATAACGGTTAATTTCTGCTGCAAATAATTAGTTGAATAATAACAGCTCACTTATAGCGGAATCTCGGTTTTTCCGGAACGGAAATGTTTGCGTATTTTAAACTCTCTTACTGTGCTATCATTTACTCACTTTATTCAGGATTTATAAAACTTTATCAATCTCATGGCTTGGTAAGTCAGGCGCAAGTGGGGCCTTTTAAAAACTAGCGGCCCTTTTGCGTCGAAAGCCAAACTTCCGTGGCCCTGCAGTCGACCAGATAGTGTAATTGAATAAAGATACCATTTGTTGAAATGATCAAAGGCACTTGAAGTGATTGTTATTGCTATAATTTTTTTTTCCGGCAGTACTCTTCGTTAGATATTCAATTCTTAAGTTTGAATGTAAAACTGTGGAGAGGGATCGTTGAACGCATCTTCAATTTGCTGCAAACCGCTTTCATTTTTAAAATTTGCGCCACAGTTATCGAGAGTTAGTTTGACAGTAATTTGATTTGACCTTTTTTTCCTTATTGACATTTCGTTTACTCTTTCCGCGTGAGCACTCGGTGTTTTTGGAATGATGAAATAACGCCTGAAATATACCTTAAGTATGGTCACGGCTCCAGAGGTTATATATAAATAAGTTTTTATTGCACGCGAAACAGTGAAGGTTTGCAACTACGTGGATCGCTTGGGACATCCAATAACTCGGTGGGTCCCCAGACGTTGCTTTGTAAGACTAAAAACATGCTCTTAGAGACGTGAAAAATAGGCCATGAATCGTACACTACCAATGGAATCCTTAATTCTGTAAAACAGTTTTCCTTGAACACATTCAGGCTTTGGAATAAATATAAAAATCTTTTGAAAATACCATATTGAAAGTGTCTAGTATGCGCTTTCTAGCTTTGTAGCCCCTTTTTATCGTCTGCATTATCTAGCATCGGAAACGAGTACATTCTCTACAGCGGATTCGCCCTTCTTTGTCTCCCCGCTTTCATTATCCTCCTATTCTATCTTGGACTCTCCTTCGGGGTTTGTGGGGACCGTCCACACGAAGAGGCCAGTTTCTGCAATCGCGGCGTTGGGGCTAACCTCCTCTTGTCGTATGTGCAAACGCTGGCTTTTACTCTAAATGAAATCTTAACTCACTCCTATTATTTCTCTTGTTCTGGCAGAGGCGTCGTCTTCACCTTCCTACTGTCAAGTTTGCTGATGCTGACCTGCAGCCTGTTGTTCTTGTCCGGGGGGCTGATGCAGACGGAGGTTTGTCGCTACGCTACACACCACTACCCCGCGGGTCCGGCGGTGCTTGATGACGCATTGGAGGTATATGCGGAACAGCAATTTCGCCAGGGCATGAGATTTCCCTCACATTCATTGTCTTCGGCTCCCAACGTCTCTCAGCACCTGAAAAACCTTGCCAGTGCTCGACCCTTCAGTGTACTCCTTACGCGCTGTGTCAGCGAGAGCCTTGTCGACTCTCTTGGTGATAAAGTGGTCGGGATGATGGTGTCCGACACGGTAAGCTGTGGCCTTCCTCCATTCACTTATTACTACATTTTCCGCACTTTTGCGTTTGAACTCGCAATATGTTGGCGTAAATCGAACTACCCTAGGTCAGGTGGGGAGCAGATTGAAAGCTCGGAAGTGATTCTATTTCTTCCATTTTGGAAACCTGACAATTCGGTTTTCCACGGTTTATACATCGTTATATTATTGAGGTGGGTGCAGAAAAGAATGAAGTGGGAAAGCTGGTTTCTGGCTCTGTGATGTGTTGCTATAAATTGCAATTTACGTTTTTCATTCGCTGCTATTATCGCTGCAGATCACTACACAACACATATATTCCTTATTTTTTTGCAAAATTTCCAGCGCCTAGGAATTCACGTGATCCTTATTTCAGATATTATATTTTCCAAAAGATTTACGGTTGAATATACGATTCTATTCCACTGAAAGTGGTAGCTATTTCTGCTGCCGACTTCGCACTGAAGCGTATTCAGATCGAGCATGTCACTGTTACATTAAAATGCAAGTCACTTTATTTAGTGTAAAATAGTGTGCTTCTGATTGTGTGTATGAGCGATATCTCCCTTAAACAGGTTCACATCTCTCACGGTTGCAGTAGCTATGTAAGTTCTACTGGAAGTAGCTTTCGGATCGATATTCAGATACGTATCGTAACTGTAAAATTGTTTGACATGACAGGTATGTGTTTGGCGTTGTAGTCAATCGACAACTTTCTCAAGAGCATCCTGACTACATTCAATGGTGTCGACCTGATCAGCCCCTTGCGGAGAACTGCGGCAGAAACCCTCAATATCCTCAACGAAGTCCGCGACCTTCAGCGCTACAACTTCTCCGAGGCATTGACGAAGGTAGAAACACTATATCCATCTGGCCATCTATTTCACATCAATTATCCATTCAATTACTCGTCTATTCGGGCAACTATTCGGTTATTTGGTCTTGAGATCGGACATCCACTGTTTAGGTGCAGGATGATGGACTTTAGTCAGTTCTGAACGTTATAGTGGTTCATAAAGGAGTAAAGTCGATAGGTTGTATATTTTTGCCCTTAATGAGATTCTTTTTAGATAGATATAAGCACTCTCCACAGAAGTGTTTAGCCTCCTAATTGAAAATAATTTTGTCAGTACCGATTTATAAACCCTTTAGGAAGGCTCTTAGAATCGCTTTTTTTCAAAAATATCTTCTGCAATAGTGAACGACGGAGTTAGTGCCATTTTTTGGTTAGGAGTTGCATCATTTACAAATCGCAGCGTATGTGTGGCTTCTCCATTTAAGTGAACAATTTAAGCAAAGCTCACAATGCTACGTGACTTATAGAACTAAACATTATTTAGGAAATGAGTTGGAAATTCTTCCTGCTTTTTTAGAAAATTCATGACGATTTTAGTCTTGCAAAGTTGGTCGCTAAAAGGTGAAGTTTACAAATGTTCCATTTCCATGTCATCATCCTCCTTTAAAGTGTGCTCTATTCCATTCATTATTTGTTCGGGCGTTAGATTTTCTCTATGGCAGCGTTGACTGCAGCAATTTGTTGTGCCGACCACATTGTTATCCTTGTTTCATTGTGTCTTTTCAGACTGGCGAACACCTGACGGAAATTGCGGACTTTGACAACTACGTGAGCCAGCTGGAGAGCCTTAACATCGTACGTTTTGTCCACCACTGAAACTCGCTTCATATGGCAATTTCATTTAATATTCTATCGTTCACGCTTCACCTCCAGGAGAACCTGAAAGACCAGATCATGGCGCTTCGGGAGACTGTGGGACTACTCTCACTCCGCTTGAGGACACCGATTCGTCAGCTTTACGCCGACTTGCAGTCCATCCGTGGGCATTATAACCAACTAATTGACGAGTTAAATCGTTTTTCTTCCGAATTGGATCATACTGTTCCCACTGTGAGTGTGTTCCTCCTCCCTCTTCCGCTTTTAAGTTATTTGGCATGGATTTTCTCGTCTTTCCTCTTCCGCCGCTACAAATTAGTTATTTCATGGTCGCTACAATGGGTGGAATTATTTTGCATAATTTGAGAGAGGCTTGACTTAAGTAGAAATTAGGGACTTGCTGTCCGATATTGGGGGTATTGAAGAAAATCCTACCCCTTTGTTTAAGTCATCCAAGAATTGGTGCCTCGATTTATCAAAAAAAAAAATAAAACTTAACGATTTACCGGATAATTTCCCGGTTTATTTGACCAGTAAAAACGCCAAAATTTCTGACTTGTTGCCTTTTAGATAGTTCTGTGCGCAACCTACTATCACTTCCATTGCTCTGCCTTTATGAATAAAACGATAAATTTGGACGATACATTGCTCCATGTTCCAGGGTATACATTTTGTTACTTTTGGAAATTAGCCTTGTTACGCGGCACCGAGGTTATTACATTAAACACATTTTTTTAACTTTAATCTTGCCCCCCCATGTTCGTTACGCGTCCACAAGATTTGTTCTCCGAAAAAGCCTTGCCTTTGGATAAATGTGTTTGTGTTAGTGACACTCGGACCTTGGTGTTTATTTCCCTCCTGAGCGCATTTTTTGTTTAGAGATTAAAGGTCGGCTACCGTCAAGGTTGACTACTTACTACCCTCCAAGAGCACATTAGCAAATGCAAATCATCGTATGAATCGCCTTGTATTTGCTGAGATCTCGATGGTCGCCGGAAGACAACTCGATCTTTTGGTGGGAGGGTTTGTTAATGCGATTTGTCCAATGGGATGGGAGAATTTTTGAAGCAGTCTGAAAAGGAGCATTGTTGCGCTGTACTGTGCCAGTGAGAACGAGGACGAAAATACGATAAATCAAGTACACAGTTTTTCAGGAATTTTAATGTTTATTTGTTTGTTTAAAACCCAATAAAAACGTCTTCACTACAGGGTTCTGGTAGTTTCCACTTGGAGATGTGGACTTCCCTTTTTGCGTCTCTTTTCGGACCGTTCTAGAGGCGTTTATACCTCGTGCATAATTGTCCAATATCGCGAAGGGTGTTAATACTCTTCCTTAAGATCACGTGGGAAGAGTTGAGAGCTGAAGCTCTACGTGTATTCTTTGGAGGTGTTTGCTCGTCAGCCTCTAACATGGGCGCACTAGGCACCATTTTTGGGAGTAAGACACGTGCCCTGAGTAATTTGCCTGCTTCGGCCCCTCCTGCATCTGTGCTCACATAGGACTACTTGGCAGATCATGGAGATGCTTTTTGGAGTGTCTTAACTAGTTTTAGCTTAGCACTGGGATTGTTTTTGTCTTCCTCATTTGCGTAGGCTTGGGAAATGGCACCATAAAAGTGGGTGATTTATTATAAGGTAATGCGCTTTATCGGAGCGTGCTTTGTGAGTCATGGGTACAAGTAGGGAAGTTCTTCGCGATCTCCTTTTAAATGTCTCTCATTGGACTTTTATGCGCGTGCGGTGCAAGGGTCTCACCGACCATACATTTGAATGATTCCTAATTCATTGTCTGACCGGTTTATAAGTAACTGGTGACAGCACTGTGGAGGAGTTTTGTTTACTTAGAACGCCTAGTATAATTTACTTGGAAGCTACTTTTGAGCTGCTCTGAGCTCTTGAGATCTGAGCCGATTGGGTTTTCGCAATAGAATAGTTTGCAAAAAGCCAGCGTTCTCTTGATAAGAGTCGATTGTTTTTTTTTCCAGATTAAGAAGTACGATTTCATGCATTTCCTTATAACCTTTTTTCCATGTAAGTAGAAGAATGCGTCAGTTGATTTGTCTTGAATACCCATGAGGTACATATTTTAATGATTGGAGGTACGACTAACTTATTTTCTACAAGGTATATAATAGTAAATAGATGAAGTCTAGCTGGGATGACAACCGGTTCGTTATGTTGCAGAATGCGAATTTGATTTCCTTGGTGTGTCATGGTCCAAATGTTTCTGCAATTTGGGATTGAGCCAAAATTGTTGACGCTGCGTTTGCTACTTTATATTTTCCGATTGAAAAAACACGTAGGTCTTAAAGATAACGTCGAAAAGATTAGCTACTTCAGTTACTTTGGGTAGAACACTTATTTTACCTAGCTGTGAAGTTTTGACTTTATCTGAAAGAGGGGCTTTTTTAGTGAGTTAAACAACACTACATCGATGCAACCGAGACTGATTACTCGAGATAGTGTAATCGAGGCTCACTAATATGCATCAATTTTAGTCGATTGGAGCGCAGATTGAGAGCATGCGGCCGCTCTTTCTGAAGGAGCTGCGTCTGGCGGTGATTGCAAGTTGGCGAGACATTCCTTGCACCCGTCTCTACAACGCTGCCACTGCAGGTGTCTATGCCGTCTGCATCACCTTCCTTGATCCACTGGCAAGTCCTTCTCACCTTCCGCATAAAAGAATTTCTGGTCTTCAACTGTGTTTGGGTGTCTTTTTACTAGAACGGTCTCTGGTTTGGACTGGGACTCTTCCTGCTGCTCTGCGTCCCGGCCCTCGTATTTGGTGTAAAGTTAGTCAACCTCTATCGCAAGACCGAAAAGTACAGCCCTGATTATGAGCAACCGTGAGTGGCTCCTCCCTTCTTCCTTTTCTGGCTTTTCATTCCAGTATGGCGCTTCTTGCAAACGCTTCCAAGCGTTCCATTGCACCCTATAGTGAAATTCTTGCTTTTTCAAAATTGAGGTTTGTTTTTACTAGCCTCTAAATGTTCAGTAGACTTCAAACGGCGAAAATTGCTCACTCTTGCCAGTATTAGATCTCTATTTGCATTCGAAATAATTTTCTTAGCTTTCATGAACGTTGGTTTGTGATGCCTTACTCCTAAATCAGCCAGCCTACCTGGCATAGCTACATTATATTTATTTGACAATGTCCTCCGTTATATCCAATTGAACCTTAATTTATTTCGGGTCAAAATTGTTTTTTTTGCAGTGGAATCAATTTGTCGTATTTTACAAGCAACGTGCTTGTTGGATTGGTTTATTTGTATCACTGATGTTGACAAAAGGTAGTGTGAGTCACGTTTCTCACTCGAAGAAATGCTACTATAGTTGCGATGACTATGGTAGTACATTTCACATACAAAATTGTCGATTTCGTCTTATACAGTTATTCTCTAATCACCCATCATTTAAGAAACTGTGAGCAATTTTATAAGCGGAAGCTCGATTTACTAAGTTGTTAGCGGATCCACTTATCTTTCTCCGTTTTGTAGCTTTACTATGTATGTCTGGGGGAACTACGTAAATGGGTGCAGGCTGAACATCAAATAGATCGACACAATAAGGTCTACGCGTGTGTTTGTAAAAGATTAGGGGGGTGTTTGGATTGTAATAACATCTGTTCCTCCATTTGTATTTATTATTCCTACTCATATTTTACTGCACGTTTATGGGATTTCACAAGTCTCAGGGACCATTCAGTGATTTTGCCGGCTTAAATTTGTTTTTTTTTTTTGTTGATAATGCCCCCTTTTAGGGACTACATCTCTTACCATGCATTCTACATGAGACCAGCAACTAGTGAGGGTGATGTACAATCCCGAAGGTATAAAAATCTTCTCACCTTTCTTTTAGAAATTTTTATTTGATTGTCATATTTGAATTTTCCATTCTAGAAAGCATCGCCCACGAAAAGGAAAGGCATCAAGTGCGTTGTCGTTTGTTTACAGACCCTACAAACATTCTATTTGGTTGGGTGCTGACCTATCAGAAGCACTTTTCTGTTGGGCACCTCTGAATCAGCATAGTCTTTAAGGTCGAGTTAGTAAGAATCACCCGCAGGCACAATTATTTTTACATTCAATATAGGTGGCGACGGCTACATGCTACTGGAGCCTATTGCGTAGTGGGTGTGCGTGCGTAAGATATGCCCTTATTTCATTGCGCAACTCATCTGCTAACCACACAGCGCTTTGGCCGATCATTGTCACTTCTAGGTTGTTGTGCTTGTCTCCCCTTTTTCATATCCCACCATAGATTGAGTTTCTTGACCTATTATACTGACCCTGCTCCCTTTGCATGAGTTAGAGGTTTTGCACTCAGTAAAACGCTGGCAGAATTTGCATTTTGAATTTTGTTCCAAGAAAGCACTTTATGAATTTACTGGGAAGAAAAAGTGGCTGTAATCTACTTGATGTGAGATTTCTTCCTTTCTTGATGTTGATTCGAGCAGAGGGCTTTAAGTGCCCCTCATTACATTCAGAAATTTAAACCATCTGGTGGGAAGCACTTGTAAATGAATTGTCTTGGCCGACCCCAACTTCTGGTGTTGGCCATTGTGTACAAATAATGCATTTTACGATTGATCGCCACAAGCTTTTCAATCTACTCATCTTCTATTATTTTTCTGTCAGTGCATTTAATGAATTGGTAGGATCTTGTACTAATTTTTAATTTGTACTGTTCATTCTAGTAACTGTAGTTGCATTTCCCTTTATTGGTCGCTGCTCCATAATGGCACGCACATTAATCACATCTAAGCTTTGGGATGAATGCCCTTGTCTAATTGTTTCTGATGGGACTTTTTTTAGCTTAGTTGTTTATATTTCAACTCATTCCAATTCTCTTTACTGATCGGTGAAAATCAGGGGACAAAACAACTGAAGTAAATTATTCCTAGATCAACTATGTTATTTTGTTAACACTAAATCTGTTTTTTGGTGTAGATTGCAAACCATATTTTTGGATCAGCTTTTCAGTAGACTGGTTCTCTACCAATATTCGATAAAAACCAATCAAAGCATCTGAGATTTCCGAAATTTCCATGAATTTGTTTGTCTGATATCAAATCCCTCCATTTAACTACGTTTTCACTCCAATTATAACTGCATCGAGTTACTGACAAATCGTGTTAACTCGATACAGTTAATTCAGCACCTTTTTGGCGAACGAACTGGGCGGTTTAGTTAAGTGCTGTTTTTTTGTGCTCTTGCTGCCTAATCCCTAACGTACCGGTTGCAGTGATTCCATTCATCAGCATTTCCACGTAATCGTCTGCCAAATGCCGTTTTTTTTCTTTTAAACAGACCGATCATATGGAAAGGCTGGTGATGGCCCGGCTTACGGCTTCAGTCACCGACACGGTCCCTCCAGCAATTCCACCTACCAAACCGTTTCTGTGTATCCCTATGACGCTTACGAATAATCACCTCTATCAATTCAGCAACTACCACCATCTAATAAGAGCGCGAAATTTTATGCGCCTTCTGTAGCATATTGTGCCCCCTCTCGGGTCCTGTGTGAAGGGAAAACGAATCACGTTACTTCCCTTGCCGCTGTTGTTCTCATAGCTTGCATTCACTCTCATTGTGTTTGTGCATTTGCAAACAGATCATTCACCACCACTTACCGGTTCACTAGATGTTTTGGGCACTGTGTGCTTACATTTTTTCTTGCAAATTTTGCCCTTTATCTGGTGCCAGCAATGTAATAATTTCAGTAGATCGAATAGTCTACACTAGCGTTGCTGGGTTTCCTCTTCCAATTAAAGTTGTCGGGTCCACTGGTACCAATAGAACATAGGAGGGGGTGGGGGGGGGGGAAGGGGGAGTCGTATACGCATTTTCAGTTAAACTATGCCCGAATTTCGTAGGAACGTCCCATGTACCACGCAAACGCTATGCCTACTTTAAGTGTTATTTTGCTCGGGTGGGCTACATGTAGGACCGTTCCGGGGCTTCATTTATTAGATGAAAACAAATTGTGGAACCGATGCTTGTCTCACGTCAAATTGTGGACTCGGATCTATTTTACGTGTAAACGGCCGAACGAATAGGTTCAGTACCAGTGTGGTTTTCGTCACTTGGTATGACACACGCGTGTAATTTACCACGCTGGCAGTTCTGAACACCGATACTGTATTCTAATCCGAAGTGACTGGCTGTTGATGAGCACAGTACGTATTCCCGGCATTTGTACACTATCGTTGGGGAGGTTGCTTGATCGCTTTCTTCGAAGAAGAGCAATCAATTTGTCTAAACATCTAGAAGCTTCTCTGTGCCAAATAGGTCGATAATTCTATGAAATAGACCACAATGTTGACTATTTGTTCGATCGGGAAATACAAAAGTCGAAAGGGAGAGGATTTCAAAATTCTACTTTTATATTCATGACGTCTGATTACTATTCAGGTGCATTTATCATGATATATCGAAACTGGTGTTTTTGAATAACCGTGTGAAAATTGCGTAAAAAATAGGATTATACGGTGCAGGGACTCATTTTACTTTTTCGTTTTACAACTTTCCTTTGAGTGACATCTGATGGTGTGACAGTTTAACATGGTAATTTAAAGACTTACCAAAGTACAACTAGTAGGTTTGGGGTTTCTTCATAATTGATTCGAAACAGGTACCATTTCTTATTTGCTTTTAAATTGATTCGGTAATTGGATACGGCAGAATTCTGAATTAAAAGTTGTATGAGAAGCAGGTACTTACAATTAGTGGGTAGTTAGCGGAAAAGTACCAAACCCAATTCCTCTTTGACGGTTACCTTTCTGCAGCTCAAATCTCATCCTCTTAAACACTGTTTATTAGTATTATTATTCGCATCGTCAAACGCGGAACTTTGCTAAATTACCCAATTGCGCTACTAGGGATTTTAAGGGTAAACAATACCAGTATTCAACGCGATCAATTGATTAAAAGAAGGAAATTAATCTTGAGCTGATTATTTGCGTGATGGCAATAAATGACTATAGTGCTTGATGTAGAAAAATATATACATATTTCTAATACCATATTCAAGTGGTATTCCCGCTAGCTGGGAATTCGCGTGCTCCATAATCCAAAATTCATGTCGCAAGAGACGTTTAGGCATCAACATCATCATCAGTATTATTATCATCATCATCGATTTCTGTCTTAACAACTGAGACGGATTCTAAAAGTACGCCACCTTTTACATACACATAACCTAGTTGTTAATCCAACTGGACTATAAATCAATCGACAAATCCCGGAGGTTGTGGCCTTTTTAGTTATCAAAACGTTTCTTTTTTACAGATTGTATTTATCATCCATTTTTTCATAAACATCCACCAAGATGTATACCTTGGGAGCAGTAGCATCGTTTGCTTAGGAATTTACCACCTCCACCTTTTCTTGATATCTGTTTCTCCACATCTATCCGGAAATGCGATAAATGAAAGGCTTGTAAATTTGCAGATAAACGTGAATTTGTACGTTGACTTAACCCTAATTTAGTTAAGAAATTTAAACTACATAATTGGTATTGCTTCCCATTGCTAGCTACTGTGAAATAACTTGGCTCTTTCAATAAGCAACAGAAAAGGTATTAGCAGATATAATTCTTTGCTAAAGTTTGCTTCCAAATTGCTTTCAGCTGAACATCCGCAAATTATTCAATCTGAAATTAAACGTCTTCTGGCATTCCTCGAAATGCAACTGCTGACACTGCCTGTATTCCAAACAGCTAACTGCTGAACTGTCAATGGATAAGTAGTCAGTGATCAACAAACATATTTGGGTGGGTTTCGACTCAACCAACGTTATTAACGAATTGCAGGTGAAAATATATTTCAGCAACTTATCACAGCAAGCAATTTAAGGCTACCAAAATGTCTCTACTTCCTGCAAAGAAGTGATTTGATAACCCGCAGTTTTGTCCTCAATTCACCCAATGAACCCTGACAAATACATTTAATTGCTCCGAACCATATTCAGTGTGGAAGAGAACTTATTACTGAGGTACGAGAGACCTAGACGTGGTGGAACAGTCATATTGTTAAGTGAAAACACAACATGTAGAAGCTGAAGTGCCTGATTGGATGAACATAATATCATTGCCGTATAACCAAGATTGGCTTCGCGTATTAGTTACTGAAGCAAAAATTCAGTTAGTATTAAAAAGGGCCAGTTAATTCTTTTAATTATGGAAATTTTGTCATACTCAAAGTGCAAGAGCTGTTCTAAATTTTCACCTTTACTGAAAAAAACGGCTGTACTTATCTATAATCATCGAGGGGATGAGGCAATACAGTTCTCTACTTATTTAACTTTGCGTGGAAAAGTTCGATAGACCTATATAGTGGGCTGATAATTCTTTACTGCCTCGTCTTCTGACTAAGACGAAATTTATTAAAAAATACAATGATGGAAATGGGAAATTTGATGTATGGATCATACTTCTCCGCTTCCAAATTTGTCTGAAATTGCCATGTTCGTTGTGGGTTGTTTCTTCCCGAGTTGGTACACTGCATCAACACAAGCGGTGCATGAGCCATTGCTCAAACAGCGCCGCCATTAGCTGCAGTTCACAATTTTCCACGTAATAATTTAGCTGGGACTATTCAGCATTATATTCGACGCAGAAAACGCTCTTTGGAGAAAAGGTCGAACAGTTGATTCATCGAAAACACCTTTGACAAAATAAGTGGAATAGTTAATGTTGGGATGAATAAAAATGAATTCAGGTATCGTCGTATCAAACTATCAACTTTATTCAACAAATAAACTTATTTTGTTATGGGCTCTGCTTGCATTATACTTTAGTGTAATGGTGTAGTGCAATCGAATCTGTAGATATTTACAAATATCCAAATTCTTTGGTATCGATGACAATAAGAATTCCGTTTTTGCTACAATAGACGTTGAAAGGATACGATTGCTTATTGGCATTTTCCTCGATGGTTAAAAAATGCTTTTATGCGACAACATTTACTAAAGTCCAATATAATAGGATGTCTGGAAAAGAAAAAAACTGAGTTATTTCTTCTGTGAGTCTGCTGAAAAATACGTTAGTGGGCAGAATAATAACTGTGGTTTACAATAAACTCAAACCAACAAATCTTCGTTAAATAGGTGTTAGGAGCTGAAACGTTAGTATCCTGGATTAATTGGAGAATGTACCACTTTTTATAAAATGAAAAGGTCAAAACATCTAAAGTACTTAACAGTATTTTATTAATGTGGTAGACACTTTCATTTTAAATATCGCCGAAATGGCTTTCACGGATTCCGCAGCCACTTTGTAAATATGTTGATCCGGTACTCTGTATGAGTAAGCCATTTGAATGAAAGTTTTGTATCGTCGCTCACTCAGAAATTATTCGTTTGTCCTTAAGCATTCTGGGATAACACTCAGCTGTACAACTATTTCTTTCGAACTAGTCACACGTCATATTACTGCAGATGGTGTTTGTCAGGTAAGGCAAGTTTATTCTTAAAACAAAATAAGAGATTGTAAAATTTTATGGCATAATCACAATTTATATTTATAACTAAGGGATCATGTTAGTTCAAATATTAAAGCACATCCGACTTACAATTTTCATTCCATTCAGAACAAAATTCAGTGTAGAAAATTGGTCTGACACCGTTAAAGCTTTGTATTTACTGCGAACAGCGCAAATTAGAATGCCGGTGTAAGCCCAGAGCGAGAGAACCCTCTATTGAGAGGGTGATTCGAAAAAAATCAGTTAATTTCTACCTGACTTCTTGATTGGGGGATCGCATGAGTAACCATCCCAAAGGTCAAATTTTCGGAGTAACCTTTATATTGATGATAATGCTGCTACGCACTTTGTGGTTTTGAGCTATTGAATAAATAATTACGCATTTTTTAGTTCTAAAGGAAAAGGTTCATTTAACTGTGTATTTCAACCAAATTTAAGAAAGATAGTTTGAAGACTATCTGTAAACAACCAATTAATACTTATAAAAAGCCGAGCAACTGATGTCTATTTTTGATTTCTTTAGTCTTCCACCATGTCTTGCAACCCCTTCATTTATGTAAATCCCATATTGTTAATGTTTTACGGATTTTTAATTGCTCCTCACTGCCAGTGAATACGATTTATTAGCTTAAAGCTGTCCGCTTGCCCCTTAACTGTATTACCAATTTGTTAGCATTCAAATCCAGTCTTCTTATTTCCTCATTAATTTCCATTTGTAGATAAAGCTAATTTTCTTGTGGTGTTAGGTTCCATAACCTTAGATTTTAGTCACGTTTGTATCGCCAGTATTAACTAACGTAACCAATAAAGAGAGGTATTTGAGTTGAAAAATTTTACTAAATATTATCTGTATTGGAATTACTTTTATAACTGTAATGACACTTTGTGAAAGTTTCCCTCCATCGCAGGGTAAAGCTAAGAGATTAGTGAGACTCGGGCAGAACATATGCATTTGACATACAGTAGGGCTTGGGGCTACTGGCCTGATCCGGAGGCCAGCCCATCCGGCGAAGGTAAAATAGTAGAGACCCAAAGTGATCCCTTCACCAAAACCGAGAGTTAAACAACCAAAGTACTGCAGTATTGAAAAAGAAGAAAATTTAAAACTTTTATCGCAAATTGCCAAACTTGTTACATTTAGTATGTAAACGATTTCAAATATCAGTATGTCAACTTTGGATCTGCAAGAAATGCAAATAGGCGAATACGATTTCCCTAAAAGTGACCAAGTTCGAATGATAAAAGAAGACGTTGACTATCATATTGAACTTTCCAATCCATATATTAATAAGTCAGAACAAAATATGAACCGAGAAAAATGCATGCCTCAATGTGATTTGGGGATTCTAATTAAAAACTGTCAGTTTTTGCATTTGATTAGGACTCTCGACTAACATTCCTGTTTTAATCGCCCACCAAACACCGGGTCAATTCTTCTGCCATGAATTATTCACGATTTCTATAGAACACCAAAACCGTCAGGAATACTAGCAGGTTCAGAAATCAAGGACTGGCATTTCAATCCGGAATGAAGCAACGAAAATGTGGTATAAACCTACGTCGTAATAAAAAAGTTTGTCGGTAGTGATGAAGATTAAGCGGATTTTGCATTTTCAGCACATCTATTACGATCATTTATGATTCAAGCCTTCAATTACTCGGGGCTGAGTTAAATATGTGTCATGCACATTAGCCTATAGGCGGTTTCCGCCGCTCCTTTTTCGCTTCTGAGACGTCTCGTTAACGAGATCCATGGCGCAGAAACAACGGCTGTTCGTCAGAGCGTTAGCGCATAACGCATTACAGTTAAAATATGTGATTACTAAATAGGCGGAGACACAAAAATGCTTACAATGTGTACAAGTAAAAAACCGCAAATGCTAACTTGTAGGCTCGCAAAGGGATTTCAAATGGTAGCTTCAGTAGTATGTGTGGGATCCTATCCAAATTTATTGTATCATGATTTTCAATTAGAGGAAGTGTATTCTGGGAGCGAGCATTGGAAAATTTTTCTTTACTACACATTAATATCTGTCAAATTTAGGAGGTAAGCATATTCAGTATATATCTGCAATAGGATCAGTTTATGCAGCATCAATTCTGTAATTTTTAAGTAGAAACAGCTTGTGGCTTGACAAACTGATGCTGGTTGAGATAAAGTCCACTTACCTGAGTAATCATATGCAAATAAAAAGCTAAGGAAGAGTTTGACAAGTACATTTTAAAATTTGTAGGTATAAAAGAAATAATATAATACTAGATTAACTTTAGGTCCGATTATCAACTTGAAGATGAGTGTGAAATCTAAGCAATACGCTAATGGTATGGTGGTGAAACCATGAAGCAATAGTAGGGCAAGCCAATTTAGTGACTATTTTTAAAGTAAAGTAAAATGTAAATTTAATCCTAGGTAGTGGAAAATCAGCATTTAATTGTGTATATGTACTCCGTTATTTTCCGCATACTTTTAAAATATTTCATTCGCTACCCCAGAATTTGGTTCAATTCTGTAGGAAACAAACATTACATTTTGCATGTTGAATGCATATATTCTGCCCGAGTATTATGTCCTAGTTTATTTTTGGGAGTCACAGGGTGTTACACTAGCATCCATATGAATAAAAATTAGTTCTAATT